AATTTAACCCACTTATTAAAATACTACATCAACATGAAATCACTATAAAATTAGAGATCGTTTGCATTATTTTTTTTACATGAAACCTTCCAAATCCAGTTTACATCTTACACTTATAGCACATCTCCATTCAGATGCTAAATTTTCATTAGAAATGCTTGGCTTCTATTTAGATTCATAAAAATTGCAGTTAAAAAAAGTAGATTCTGGGGGTGCCTGTGGCTCAGTTGGTTGAGTGTCCAGCTTTAGCTCAAGTCATAATCTTACAGTCTATGAGTTCAAGCCCTCGTTGGATTCTTTGCAGACAGCTCAGAGCCTGGAGCCTGCTTTGGATTCTGTGTCTCCCCTTTTCTCTGCCCCTCCCCTGCTCGTACTCTGTCCATTTCTCTCTCTCTCTCTCTCTCTCTCTCTCTCTCTCTCTCTCTCTCTCTCAAAAATAAACAGAATTTTTTTAATTTCATAAATTGGTGATGATTCATAGCATTTGCATATATATACTGAACAATTTTACTTAAAAAAATTTTAATGTTTATTTTTGAGAGAGAGAGTGTGAGTGGGGAAGGGTCAGAGAGAGAGGGAGACACAGAACCCAAAGCAGGCTCTGAGCTCTGAGCTGTCAGCACAGAGCCCCACATGGGGCTTGAACTCACAAACTGTGAGATATGACCTGAGCCGCAGTTAGCCACTCAATCGACTGAGCTACTCAGGCGCCCCTATACTGAACAATTTTAGTAACCACACTATGATACAGTCTCCTTCAGAACATAGATATTTTCACTATGTATCATACAGTGGAATAAATATAAGGAATTACAGTAAATCCAGATTTTAAAAAATTTCTGTAAGTTTATTATTTTGAGAGAGAGACAGTATGAGTGGGATAGAGGCAGATAGAGAGGGGAGAGAGAGAATTCCAAGAAGGTTCCACATAGGGGCAGATAGAGCGGGGAGAGAGAGAGTTCCAAGAAGGTTCTGCACCGTCATTGCAGAGCTCGATATGGGGCTCGAACCCACCAACCATGGCCCGAGCCAAGATCAAGAAAAGGACACTTAACCAACTGAGCCACCCAGGTGCTCCGTAAATTCAGATTTTTGATCTCACATAGCTGGCCCATTGTCTGTTTTGATAGAAACTTTTTCCTGTCTAGAGTAGTTTGAGACAAAACACACCAAGAGTATTAATTGGTCAGTATCTCTTGTGAAACTCATGTAAAGCTAAAAATAAAAGTACTTGAAAATTTTCAAATATTGAATTAATTGATCTTTAATTGTTAGAAAAGTCTTTTATTCACTGACACTTGCTTGATGGGTCAATTTAAGATCTTTCACACTTTGGCGGTGTCTGGGTAGCTCAATTGGTTAAGGGTCCAGTTCTTGATTTCAGCTAGTTCATGATCCTAGGATTGTGGAATCAAGCCCTACGTTGGCTTCTGTGGCAAGCATGGAGACTGCTTAAGATTATTTCTCTCTTAAAAAAAAAAAAAAAACCAACAAAAAACTTGCACATTTTATAAAATCTCTTTTTAATCTTTTCCTCAGATTTTAAATCATAATTCCCTTAATGAAATGGTAATTAAATTTTTTACCTCTCCTTCTAAAAATGGTTTTCTTTCTTGAGCAAGATCTAGGTATAGTTGGCCAAAAGCATAAGCTCAGATCCTTTATTCATGGAGACATTTTTTTGTTTTATGTTTAATTCTGATTTCATGAACTGCTTTAAGTTTTGCCTGTTGAGAGGCAACTTCTTATTAACTGAATATGCATTTGCTGAAGGTGACTCAGTATGGTCTACTATATTATCTCAAAACTTTTTAAATACTCATTTTGCTCTGCTATAGCAAATTGTAATTGCCATTCTCTGTAAAATTTGTGACCTAACTTCTCTACTTGATACTGCCTCATTAGTGTGCCTTCCTATGAAAGTTAATTTTTTTCATAATGATTAAGCTAGAAAAATAATTTTTATTATAATTAAAATAAGTACTTCAGCTTAACTACTAATTGGTGTTTACATAGATATCATTATAACTCTGCTGTCTGTATAAAATATTCATATAAACACATTGCAGTGCTGCATTGTTGCATAGAAAAATAATGAACTCAACCATTCTGTTGACAAAAATCAGATTGGTAATATGCTTATGTGTAATACTAGAAATGACACATGCACCCATCATGTGCACTGTAATACATCTCAGATGATGTAATAGTAAGAGTGAAATACACTTTTACCAAAACCATAAAATTGTGTTTAGTGGAAAAGTATTTTGTAAAAATAGATGTAAGTGATTTGTATCAATTAGAATTTTTTAAAAATTAAAATTCAGTTCTTTAGTTGAATCAGCCTCATTAGCACAGCTGTAGAGTCTAGAGCAACTTAATTAAGAAAAATTTTTTAATGTTTATTTTTGAGAGAGCGTATGAGCAGGGGAGAGGCAAAGAGAGAGAGTGAGACACAGACTCTCAAGCAGGCTCTAGCTCTAGGCTCTGAGCTGTCAGCAGAGTCCAATGTGGGGCTCAAACTCACTAGCTAGGAGATCATGAGCTGAGCCGAAGGCAGGAAGCTTAACCGACTGAGCCATCCAGGCGGCTGCAACTTACTTACTTTAATGATGAAAGTTCAGAGAGATGAAGCAACTAGATCGTTAGGCCAGAATAATTTAGAATGGAGCAAAATCATAAATTTTTATTTCAGTATATGAAAATGTTTAACAAATGTTATTTTATATTTTAGGCTAATTCCATATCACATCAAAAGAATTACTTTAATAAGAAAACCAGTTACTTAGTTTAACTGGAAATTGTTTAAACAGAGCAACAACTTTTTTGTGGAGGTTAGGGTTTTCAGTTAGATATTATTAGATATTATGGCGTATTGTAAATATGTGAAAGGTGATCGAAATTTACTCTTAGACTTTGTTCCCTAGTTGAACACTAGCATTTAGCATTGTTTCTGTTTTGAATGCTGAGTATTGTTTTAATTGTAATCCATGCATAAATTTATGCAAACATAAAATGAAAATGTAAGGAAGAATGTAGTGGCACAATTTGATTCTTCAGTTAATGCTTAAGCTTCATGGAAGAAACAAGTGACTCAAGCCCAAATTCACAGAGTAGATCTTAGCCTCTTAACCTTTATGCTGAGAAGAAGCAAGGAATTAAACCTTTTCACTACTTTAATTTTTTATGTGTTTATCATAAAACGGATAAAGAATTATTCTCCTGCCATTGCTGGTACTTTGGTCATAGAAAAACCATCCAGGACGTAAAAGTTAGCTTTTGCTGTTTGTTCAAATGTTAGGAAATTGGAGAATACCTTAGAAACTCATGATTGACAGCATAGGTAGTCAGTTAATGGGGGAGGGTGTTAAATAAATACATATATATTATTATTTTAGAGTTTTCAAAGGCATTCAGTTGAAATTTTAATTTCTGTGAATAAAAGATACAAGCTATGCTTTTGTGTGTGTAATCTTTTTTTTTTTCATTACTCTTCCCCATTTTCTTATTTTTTTATAGACTGATTTCAGATATGTAAGAAATGTTTTCTAGATTCTGCTAGAGATGATCTAATTTTTACTAATTGCTATGCATTCAAAGTTTCTTTTGCTCAGAATGGCAGCATTATTGTCATTATTCTTTGGTAGTTATAGTAGTGGTTTTATACAAAGCTGCTATTCAAAAGAATATATTGGTACTAGCTTGTAAAGTTTTTGTTGTTGTTCTTAAAACTGGCTTTATTCCAAGAAAAAAATTGAATGGTAATGTACAAGGTAATGTCTATTACATATGAGTCCTTGTATTTGCTTATTGACTACCTAAAAACACACACAATATCTGTTTTGTTTCTTAATTTTTAAGTGGTTTTTTTTTTTTTTTTTTTTTTTTGAGAGAAAGACAGAATGAGGGAGAAGGACAGAATCCCAAGAAGGCTCCATTCTCACTGTGGCGCCCGATCTGTGGATCGAGCCAATGACTATGAGATCATGACCTGAGCTGAAATCAAGAGTTGGATGTTCAACCAGCTAAGCCACCCAGGTGCCCCTCACAATATCAGTTTTAAAGAACACCTTAACGTTTTTCTTCAAAGCAATTGTCAGTTTCCTAATTAAGTTAATTTTTGTTTTCTAGCACTTCAGAATGAAGAGTCTTCCTTCTCAGCCATCTGAATTCAATTATTTTAATTAGTTTTAAATGTATAGCTTTTAGGGGCACCTGGGTGGCTCAGTCGGTTGAGCGTCTGGCTTCGGCTCAGGTCATGATCTCACGGTTTGTGGGTTCGAGCCTCGCATCGGGCTCTGTGCTGACAACTAGCTTGGAGCCTGGAGCCTGTTTGGGATTGTGTCTCCCTCTCTCTGACCCTCCCCTGTTCATGCTGTCTCTCTCTCTCTCTCAGAAATAAATAAAACAAAAAGAAAAAATCTTTAAATGTTTAGCTTTTAGTTTTTTTTTTTTCTAACTTATCTCTACAGGTTAATTACCTTTTCCCTATTCTTCACTTAAATCTTTCCTCCCCGCAAATTCCTATTATTTTGAGTTGGGAAATATCACCTGAAAGCTTTAGGCTTAATGCCCTGTGAATCGACTTGGTGCTTTTTATTTTCCGTTAATACCCTGTGAATCGACTTGGTGCTTTTTATTTTCCGTTAATGCCCTGTGAATCGACTTGGTGCTTTTTATTTTCCGTGTATTATGCAACACTAAAAAAAAAAAAAAAAAATGTAACACCTGTAGCAGCTTATCTTGTTTTTGAAGGAGAAATTGAAGAGCTTTTGAGTAAAAATGGGAAAAGAAGCTAGTATTCATTGCCTGCGTGGGTTTTTAAAAAGGCTTTTAAAAAACATTCCATTGTGGATTCCAAGTTCTTTTTAAAGTTACCACCAACAGTAACTGCCTGCAGAGCCATGTGATCATCTTGGCAGCAGCCAGGCCTTTTAGTGATTTCATTACTGTGGTTTCCTCAAGCTCTTTATACACATTGATTAATATTTTTCTTGCAGTTATCGCTGTGATGATTTTGTGGTTAATGACACCAAGCTGGGACTCGTACAGAAAGTCAGAGAACACTTACAGAACTTGGAAAAGTAAGTAATAGGCTTTGGGAAAAGAAGGGGACAGAGTGGGGTTGAGGGATCTTTTAGAATTTTTGAGTGGGGTTATTTCTTAATGAGTTTCATAACTTCATCATGGTTTTAGTGTGATTGAAATGTTAATAAAGTAAACTGTAGGTTTACCTTGGATATCTGAAACTGTGTCCATAGTTAATGGTCATAGCTTAGTGTTTATTTCATTTGATATTTATCATAGTCATAGGCCAGAGTCCATGAGCCTTTCATTTTTTTAAGTTATTACCCTTCAATTTATAAGCTACTCAGTTTATTTGCAAGGGGGGATTTTGGAGGTGTAAGGAAAGGGCATAAAATGATAGAAAATCATTATAGAGTTACCTTTGATATTAGAAAATTCTTGTCAAATGCTTTATGAGGTCTTAGAAGCACTAAAATTTACGCATTATTTTAAAGGGAAACTAGGCTTTATTATATTATTGTCCACTTTGCACCTTTGTGACAGCACAGGATCCTATTTTCTTTTTTTCCTCTTTTTTGAGGGGCTGTGTCGCTTGAAATTATAATAGGTTGTCATCATAAAGAATTTACAGTGCTTATATGAATAGAATTTTTTAGCTATAGCCAGATAGGTTATTCAGATAAAACTTTGAACCCAAAATTGAAGCAATAAACAGAAATCCAAACAGTGATGCCTTGGAAGCTGCATGGATAGAAGCATGGCTATGGAATGGCTGCTGATGCTAGTGAAATTTGTGTAAATCACCCCTAGTTGTTAGGTGCCATTTATTATGACAGTTGATATTAAAAGCTGTTGTGAGAGCATACCAAAAGGAGGAGTCTTTTAGGAAGCTTAAATGTAAAGGCAATAGAATATTTTTAAATCATATAGTGAGAGGAAATAGCTTACGTTCTTTGAGTAAGACTTGGTATAATTTTCATTAGCCAAAGTCTTTATGCATGTCTTGTTGACTAAATAGATTATAAAGCTGATAAGGGAAGAAGAATGAATTTTTTAAAAATCTAAACTAGTTAAAATACAATAATTGGAGTTTAAAAACTTTTTGGCTCTTCTCATTTCAAAGGCTTCCCCTTTTTGTAATCTGAATAGAGCAACAGAAGCCCTATCTAGGATTAGAGACAGAGCTACAGATATACAGACCCAAAATATTTATTTTTGTCTGAAATCATCATAATCACCTTTGAAGTACGAGATTCCCGCAGTAATTTGTATAATGCCACTCTTTAGTGTGGTGATGTCATCGTGAAAATCTTACTGAGTTGATTCTTTGTCACAGAAGTGACTGTCAGAATATATTTTCTGCTACTTAAAGTTTTCTCTAAGAAAGAGAAAGGGACTACATCTGAATCCCAAGTGAATGTATCAGAACTAAGTCAAAGGGAAAAGAGGAGCCTGCATGCAGTTATTCAGTTATCACATCTTTTATTTCCACTGACCACTTCATCAGGCAGAAGATGTCACAGACCTACTTGTTTCTACTTCTGCTTCGTCCCACTGAAAAATCTACCTTGCAGTCTTTCTCCCATGTTGAAAAATATTATCTGGGTTCCTTTTTCTGTGTTTCAAGTATAGGCGTTAGTCTATGGTGCAAACTACAGTTTAAAAACTGTGACTTTGTGTTTTATTTCACGTTAGACTGTTCTACATATCCTCCAGAGGTACACTGTGCAGAAGAACTTTTTGAAGGGAAAAAATTTGTAATCTGCACTGTCCTATATGGTAGCTACTACTTCTGCGTAGAGCACTTGAAAAGTGGCTTAGCATAACCAAGGAACTGAATTTTAAATTTTATTTAAGTTCAGTCAATTTAAATTTATATATTATTTATATATCCGTATCAGTGTGGTTCTAGTGGGTTCTGCCATTTTGAGAATTGCTGAGCGTAAAATTTAATAACTTGTGTTTTAAGAAAGCTAAATGCCATATTTATATAGGTTAAAGCTGAAAGTTAACTGTAGGCATTGTTGCTAAGAGGTATATACATACATATACATATAAATATTGTGCTTATGATTCAACTCTTACAGAATTGTGAAGGAATAGCTTGGAATTGGTCTCTTCTTACCTTGTAGTCATTGATAACTCTGAGAGGGACGTTCTGAGGACATGTTGCCTAAGAATATTTTTAGTTTTAACGTAACTAACTGTCACTAGATCTGATGCTCCAAAGATACTGTAGTTCATGTGGAAATTTAATAATTGTATGTTTACTTGGGACTAGCCTGGTACATTTTAGAAGATGGAGAAGAATTAGCAGACTTAAGGGTCTGTGGGGTTTAATGACAATTTTTTCCTTCTTTTAGATTAGGATTCCTGATACATAATGATTTTAAAGTGACCCTTTAAAGATTAGAATGATTTTCTGATAAAATTTAAGCAAAATATCTCTTTCATCAAGACAGATTTTTAAAATGTTAATTCAGAATATCTGTATCAATTAGAATTTGTTTCAGAATATTCTTTGTAGCATAGTTGAATCAAATTAATTTATATGTATTTATATGCCTATAATTTATCGTTCCAGAAATTCAGATTATATTAATCTGTTATGACAAATGAACAAAACATGATATCTTCATCAAAATTAAGAAAGAAGTAGTATAGTATTTGACACTTATAGTAAATCTCAGAATAGTCGTATCAGACAAGGATTTTCCTTGTGTTGTAAGGAATGGGTCTTCTCATTTTTGAAGCTTTACAGTTGAGTAGGCAGATAGAGTGGTAGTGGAGATGGATCGTCTCACAGATCACTTCTACATGACTAGCTTTTGGGAGAAGTACCTGGTGGTAGATGATCCCAGCCCACCTTGCAAGAGGAGTAGTGGGAAAAGTGGAACAAAGTAGAACTCCTTGCTTACTTCAAATACTTGTGGGCCGCAGTGCGTGGCGGTGGGCACTTCCTGGCCTTCCTAAGCAGCCAGGCAGGGCCCTATGCTCCAGACACTTAGAACAGCCAAGTTTATTTTTTAACCTGCTATGTAGTATGTATGTGTCAATGTCTTTTTTACTGTCTGTTTTTGTTTTAATAGCTCAGCTTTCACAGCTGACAGGCATAGGAAAAGAAAACTTTTGGAAAATTCATCACTAAACACCAAGTTATTAAAAGTAAATGTAAGTAATTAAAATTTATATAAATGTAAGAATTGGTTTAGACCTAGTCATTGATTTGTTACATCTCTAACACTAATGTTGGTCCTTATTATAAACTCTGATTAAATGTATGCCTTGGGTTTGGAATATTTTACGAAATGTTTGTCATTTGTACTAATGATTCTGATGTGATTGAATACCCCAGCGAGTCCCTCTATCAGTGCCTTCCTTCCATCAGGATTACTACTGTGTTCCTCTGCCTTCACAAAAGTGTTCATTCTTAAAGCCTGTTCGTATATCTTATTACTCTGGTCCTAATGATCCTAGAGATCTTTGCTTCCTTCTGTTAAAGGTCTTAAATGCAAAGTCTATGGGTCTAAAGTTTTGGTAAGTTTTGTTTCTTAGGACTTCAGTAATTCAATTCCATCATGAAAGGATATGCGTCCTCATTCTGGTAACCATCTGTTACCAGATGTATGAGCCATGAATAAATTAACAAAATTTAAAGGTCAGTAAATACTTTTAAATACATGAGTAATTTGCCCTGCATCTGCCTCTCTGCTGTCATGCTAGTTATGTTTAGACATGCACTTAATTGAAGTGTTATGATTTTGTTTAAAAAAGAGATGAAGTGCTCTCTGGCCCTCTGAGTTTTGGGCAGAGATGTTTTATGTTGGATTGGTAGATTTCACTTCCCAGGTGTAGTATTTAGATGTCCTGGTGCATTTGTAGAGCTAATCAGAAAACAAAGCTTTGGTCTTTAAGGGAAACTCAGGTAGTTTTTTAAAAGACTGTTAGCCTGTTGCTAGGAATACATGCATTGGTCTTTTATGCATGGCTTAGAGTTAAAAGTTTGGGGACTGATTTATTTGAGGTGTATATATTTTTTCAGTTTGTAGTAGTTTTAATAAAATCTTGTAAAAGAATTCAGTCTTAAAACTTTATTTCTTTTAAGGATCTTCCTGGTTTTTGTATCCTGTACTCCATGGTATTTATTAATGCTGATTTCCTTATAAGCTTACACGGGGTATTCCCATTTAGAACAATCCCAGGATCAAAAATAGGCTTTTAAAAATATCTGGACACTTACACAGAGAGAAGAGCGAGAGTTTGAAATGTTCACTGGACAAACAAGGACCAATTCTAAATTGCTTTGATGCTAGAGTTTCAAATGTAGGCCTTTCATTTGATGTCTGAAACAGCCTTCTCTTGGTATTGCTGATGGCTTTTTCTTGTCCCATTTCTTTCCCCGTTTTACAGGGAAGCACCACTGGCATTTGTGCCACAGGCCTTAGGAATTTGGGGAACACATGTTTCATGAATGCCATCCTTCAGTCACTCAGGTAAGGTTTAACTCAGAACTTAAAATTCTGATGTTAGTTACTAGCGAAACAGTTAGGAGCAAAGGCTCTGGCTTCAGATTTTATCTCTGCCACTGACTCTAGTCACGTGGCATGTTATCTCATTTCCCTGTGCCTTAGTTTCCTCATGAGTAAAATTGAGCTTAATAGTTCTGCCTCACAGGATGATTGGGAAGATTAAATAATGAAATTTATATAGAGTGTTTAGAACTTGCCTAGCAGTAAGTAACTGTTAGTTATTTTTATTTCCTATTGCTTCTGGAATGAACTATAGCAGAGGTTAGAAAACTTTTTCAGTAAGTGGCCAGATAGTAAATATTTTAGTCTTTGCATCCCACACACAGTCTCTCATACCTTCTTCTTCTCCCCTTCTCTCCTACCCCAATCCTTTATAAACAACTCTTTAAAAATGTAAAAGCTCAGCTGATTGTCTGGGTGGCTCAGTTGGTTAACCATCAGACTTCGGCTAGAGTTATGATCTCATGGCTCATGAGTTCGAGCCCCACATTGGGCTGTATGCTGCCAGCTCAGAGCCTGGAGCCTGTTTCATATTTGTGTCTCCCTCTCTCTCTGCTCCTCCCCTGTTTTCCCTCCCTTCCTCTCTCAAAAATAAATCCATATTTAAAAAATTTTTTCAAATGTAAAAACTCACTAGGACCAGATTTGGCCTGTGTGCTATAGTATGCAGACTCCAGGACTACAGGAAACCTTGTTCAGAGTTTAATTTGATCATTAGTTGAGTATTTATTTATTTATTTATTTAGAGTACATGAGCGGAGAAGAGAGGCAGAGGGAGAGGGACAGAATCCTAAGCAGGCTGCACTCTCAGCATGGAGTCTGACGTGGGGCTCAAGCCCATGACCCTGGGATCATAACCTGAACAGAAATCAAGAGTCAGAGGCTCAAACAGCTGAGCCACCCAGGTGCCCCCATTTGTTGAGTCTTAAATATGGTCATAAGACCAGATGTTTAGAAGATCTTTAAAATGTAAGATATGTAGTAAAAATAAAATACCCAACAAGGTTGACCTCATTTATGTAGAAGAAATTATTTTGAAAGTCCTATACTTGTAGATTTTAATGTGACACTGAAGGCCAGCATAAATAATCTTCCCAAGGCCACTTGGCTAATAAAGAACAGAAGTCATACTTGATCCCTCCTTAAAGATACTGTCACTTATCTAGTCTTGTTCAAACAAGAAACTCAGGTCACTACAGAATTCTCCTTATTACTTTGTACTGTGTATCTAAGCAGTATGGTTGGTTTCATGGTTTGTTTGTATTTGAGGAAATGACTGAATACCTGGAAACAGGGACCCTAAAAAAAAAAAAAAGAAGAAATGGTGACAACCTTTGAGGGAGGGGAATTGAGGATTTAAAAAAAATTTTTTACAGTTTTATTTATATGAGTAATGCCTGCACCCAACATGGGCTTGAACTCACAACCCTGAGATTAAGAGTCACATGCTCTTCTGAGCCAGCCAGGCACCCCAGAAGTGAGGATTTTTTTAAAAGAGCTTTTGCTTTCAGCTCTTTGTTCACTTTTACAGTCATCTGTTAATACTGTTTTCTTAGAGTAAATGAGGAAACTTAATGAGGAAACTCAAAGCAATTTCTTCAGAAAGTGAAAGATCACATTTTCAAAATTCACATGTGGGTTTTATAGAACTTTCTTTACAGTTCTAGTAAATTCTTTTTTTTTTTTTTTTAAATAATTTTCTTCCCTTCCTTTTAAAATAGTAACATCGAGCAGTTTTGCTGTTATTTCAAAGAACTGCCCGCTGTGGAGTTAAGGAATGGGAAAACAGCAGGAAGGCGAACATACCACACCAGGAGCCAAGGGGATAACAATGTGTGAGTTCTAAGAATATGTCCTTTCTGGCTTTGAGCTGCAAAACAAGTGACTCTTAGTGGTGATTTCCATTGCATTGTGTGAGTTAATAGGCACATACATTTTAAAACACTCTTCTAAAAATTGTGTTTAACTATGTAGCTGGTAATCTTAATAATTGTGGGAATTCTTTTATTTCTGTTTACCTAATGGGAGGATAAATTTAGCTCTCTACTTATTAAGTCTTTGTGGATTTGAGCTCTCAAATTGACATCTGTATTAGAAACGTAGTTCTAGGTGTAGAGCAGCTTGAATATCATTAGCCTTTGTGAGTGGATAGGTCTTATAATAGTAGATAAACCTCCTGGTTAATAAAATTAATCTGTAGTCCTCACGTTAATTATGGGGCAATGCAGTCAATTTTTTGTTGACACGGAGGGGGGAAAATTCACAAATGATTATTGAGAACCAATATGTATACAAATTCAGTGCAGCTGTGCTCTATTTGGGGTTCAGAAAATCTCTATTATTGCAGTGGGCACGTTTTTTCATATCATAACATTACTGAAATAAGGCTATGATTTATAATTTATATATATTTTAACGTAATGTTCTCTCTGCTTGCCCATCCCTGCTCCCACACACCCCATCTCCACACATTCTGAAAAACCATTTTACGATCTGACATCATTCTGCCAAAGTGGCTCAGGGAAATTATGATAGAACATGTTAGAATAGTGTACAGTATGGATAGAGCCAAAATACCAGGGAATTTTAAAGCCAGGCATTGGAGTAGGGAATAGTCATACCACTACAAGGGATGTCTTAAGAGTTTACTTTGCTAGCAGCACATAGGATGAACTGGAAAAATGCCTGCATTCAAGGAGACTTCACCCTTTATAGTATTTGGGTTGGAGGGGATAGCAGTGAAATGAGGAGGAAAAAAAAACATTTTCACAAAAATTAAGGGAAGAATGAGTAGTACTTGATGCATTAGTGTCATTTAGGGTTTAGTTATAAGTTGCAGAAATTATCTCTGGCCATCTTAGGCAGAAAAAGAATTTATTAAAGGTCTGTTGGTAAGCTGTTACTGGATGGGTGGAAAATCAGGTTTGGCATCTAGACATCCAGGACCATAGCCACATTCCCCCACGGAACTATCCCATAAGGCTATTACTGTCCTGAAAAGCACACTTCCCAGTGTGACACCAGAGTTCCTGTTGCCAGCACTGTGGGAGTGGTGTGCTGGGTGGATGCTGCTGTTTTTGCTATTATTGCTAGCCCTGCACTCCAGGTGAGGTTCTTTGACACCAGAAGGGATTTGGGACTGCCCCAGCTTCTTGGCATCACTAACTTCTGCTTCAGATAGGCAGAACCCAGGCCATGTACCTGAGCGCTGGCTGCAAGGTGGTTTGAAAAAGCAAGTATCTAGGCTTTTCAGGTTCCATAGTGAGAAGTAGGCTGTGACTCTTACCCAGACTTTTAACGTGGGGAATTCCTCAAAATACAGGAAGAAGTTTCATGTACTAGGGAGTAAAAAATGTGATTTGTATCTCAAGGACCTACTGGATGACAGAGGTTGAACTATATAACTTACTGCGATTCTCTTAGAAACCAGTCAAGTATCCATGAGGATGGTCGTTGTATTGACAGATACAGGTACTGAAGTTGTTTGGTGATGTTTCAGTTTAGCTTGTTTTGGAGGTATCTCCTTCTAGCTACATGCATAGGAAAACAAAGTTAATAGTGACTTAAACAACCATTGTTTATTTTTCATGTAAAAGTTGGAGATTATCCATCTAGGGCTGTTTGACACAATCATCGGGCTCCTTCTAGCTTTCTGTTCCATCAACCCTAGGGTAGGGCTGTCATCCACATAGTTCAGACTGGTGCTGGAGTGCTGCCATTTCGTCCTTCCAGCTAGAAGGAAGAAGGAAGGGGTTAATGAGGACTACTCTTTCTCTTTAAGGAAATTTCTCAGAAGTTGAACACACTCAGTTTTTTATTCTAGGAGTTCTTATGCCAAGCAAAAATTGAAAGTTCTATTCCTGTGTGAGAAGAGAATGGTTATTGGGGGGTATTAGGGACAGTATAGAAAGCAGTTTTAGTGCACATTTGAGTCTAAAGTGACAAGAAGACATTCAGGAGAACATTCCCTTTGGAAGCTGGAAGAACCTGACTAAATGTGGTCATGAGAGAATCTGGCTTTTAGATTTGGATTTGAGAGTCATGGTGTAGAGTTGAGTGTTGAAGCTTTGTGACCAGATGAATTGTGTGAGACAGAAATAGCCGATACTCCCACACTGAGGTCTGAGAAGTGCTCCTTGTGAGGGGTAAAAAGGAAAATTGCAGAAAGTGGGGAAAGAGATTCTGTTACTTAAAATCTTAAAGGTTTTAAAAAAAATGTACATTTTAAAGTAATCTGTTTTATAACTTCTCTATTGCTTTATTGTACAAGTATGCCATTACTCTTGCACACTCAATGTTCATCATGTGGTTAAAAAAACTAGTTTTGTCTATAATTACTGCTTTTTATGTGGGTTTTTGAGATGTTCTTACTTAACTGTCAGAATTAGGTTAGAAGAAACCAAACCCTTTTTATGTTTTCATTTTTTAAAAATATATTTATTTTTTAAAATTTATATCCAAGTCAGTTAGCATATGTTTTCATTTTTATTATGAATTCTAGACAACTGGACACTATGCATTGAAATAGTAGCCTCTCACTTTCTTCTTTTCCAGGTCTTTGGTGGAAGAGTTTAGAAAGACACTCTGTGCTTTATGGCAAGGTAGCCAGACTGCATTTAGCCCAGAGTCCTTGTTTTATGTTGTTTGGAAGATTATGCCAAATTTTAGGTAAGTATTAATGAAGCATATTTGAACATTAGTATTAGTCCTCATACTATTCCTGGAACGATTTCCTCTAAAGTGGTAGTATTCTAAATAATAAAGATTGGTTTTATTTTGTTTTGTGACTAAAATGAAAGGAACAGCCATTGGATCATTTGACTTGACAGATGTGTATGTTTAAATAATGTATAGACATTAAAAATGTCATTAACAAAGGGTAGGGGTCAGTGTCTGGGTGGCTAATTCCATTAAGTGTCTGACTCTTGGTTTCAGCTCAGCTCATGATCTCATGGTTCACAAGATCAAGCCCTGAGTCGGTCTCTGCACTTTCATTACACCAGTACCACAGAGCCTGTTTGGGATGCTCTCTCCCTCTCTCTCTCTGCCCCTCCCCTGCTGGTGCACACATGTTCTCACGCACTCTCTCAAAAAAACAAAACAAAAACAAAAAACCCATAGAAAGTAGGATATTTTGTTTTAAAAACAAAGCCCTTATAAATAACTTATGTGCTCTAGGAAAGCCAGTTAGACAAAATTTACTTGAGTTTTTCAAAATTTTTTTTTTTTTTTTTTAATTTAAATTTTAGTCAGTATACAGTACAGTATTGGCTTCAGGGGTAGAATTCAGTGATTCATCACTTACATACAATACCCAGTGTTCCTCACTACAGTGCCCTCCTTAGTACCCATCACCCATCTAACCTGTTTCTCACCCACCTCCCTGTCAACCCATAATTTGTTCTCTATCATTAAGAGTCTCTTGTGGTTTATTTCCCTCTCTTCTCTTACTGCCCCCTCCCATATGTTCATCTGCTTTGTGTCTTAAATTCCAAATATGAGTGAAATCATATGGTATTTGTCTTTCTCTGATTAATTTATCTTGCTAAGCATAACACATTCTAGCTCCATCCACATCATTGCACCTGGCAAAATTTCATTCTTTTTGGTGGCTGAGTTAATAGTCCCTTTTATATATACATACCACATTTTCTTTTAAGGAATTTTTTAAATGTTTATATTTGAGAGAGAGCAAAAGCGTGCACGCTTGAGTAGGGGAGGGGCAGAGAGAGGGAGGCACAGAATCCGAAGGAGCTCCAAGCTGACAGCACTGAGCTTGACGCGGGGCTCGAATTCATGAATTGTGAGATCGTGACCTGAGCTGAAGCCAGAGGCTTAACTGACTGAGCCACTCAGGTGCCCAGGGGTGCATGTACCCCTTTGAATCTGTATTTTTGTATCCTTTGGGTAAATAGCTAATTAGTGCAATTACTGGATCACATGGTAGTTCTATTTTTAGTTTCTTGAGGAACCTTCATACTGTTGTCTAGAGTGGCTGCACCAGTTTGCATTCCCACTAACAGTACAAGATGGTTCCCCTTTCTCTGCATCCTTGCTAGTAGCTTTTGTTTTTTGTGTTAATTTTAGCCATTCTGACATGTCTGAGGTGGCATCTCATTGTAGTTTTGAATTGTATTTCCCTGATGACCAGTGATGTTGAGCATCTTTTCATGTGCCTTGTTAGTCATCTGGATGTTGTCTTTAGAAAAGTGTTCGTATCTTCTTCCCATTTCTTAACTGGGGTTTTTTTGTTGTTTGTTTTGTTTTGTTTTGTTTTGGTGTTGAGTTTGGTAAGTTCTTTATAGCTTTTAGATACTAGACACTTTCAAAATCTTAGGAAGAATAATTACCATCATACACCATCTTGTTACTTCAACTAAAAAAAAATCTGAATGTAACCGGAGAAATCTGTAGTCTTACATTTCACTGTTTGGGCTAGGTTCTGAAGGTATTAGACTAGTCAAGACTAGTCCATTGGGATTCAGTTTTCAGAAGGTAACTGGACCATATCCTAATGTGGCTGTGGAGTCACTGTGTTTTCCTAGCTCTCTCTCTGGCATCACTTGAGAAGGGAAACAGCCTTGCTGTCAGAGGAATCTACCTCTTTTTTCTAGGTTAGTCATCTCTGTAGGGATTCAGGTAGTAGCAGATTTGAGGCACTGCAGGTGTTTGACAACAGGCTTTGCCACCTTCTGCTGATTTTATCCTTCTGAAGCAGGTCTGTGCTCTTGCTAGTCAGGATTTTGGCTTCTAATGTATATCCCTCTCCTTTAAAAACAAACAAAAAACACAACAGCCTGCTGTAGTATAGGTTAGCTGTCTGTCTTGCTCTATTGCCTAACAGTAGTTTAGATATATTAGTAACATAAAGAAATGTTTAAAAGGCAATAAATAGAACTGTCATTTGTTGCCTTGGTTGAAAAGCCTAGCCTTGAGGATCTGAGGTGATTGACTGTTGTTACCCCTATTCTTTGTTTTGAAGAAAACTTCTTTTATGTGTCATGCCATTCAAATCTCCTTCCAGAGAAGATTAATTTTATAAGGATTTTAAAGTTTCTTTTTTAAAAATTTTAAAGACTTTTATTGTTTATTTTTTGAGAGAGAATAAGTGAGGGAGGGGAAGAATGATGGGGGACAGAAGATCCAAAGCAGGTTCCGCACTAACAGCAGTGAGACTGATGTGGGGCTCGAACTCACAAAGTACGAGATCAAGACCTGAGCCGAAGTTGGTTGCTCAACCTGACTCTAAGTAGGAAAGGTGGAAAATGGCTGTTCAGTTACCACTAACCAAGTTTCAACTTAACATTAACATTTCTAACATAGTCTCCCAGTCTTTGTGTTTTATGAACTAAAATTTATAAATACATATGTATATTTAAATATATTTTATATGTTTTTATATAGCTTATATATTTTATAAGCTATGTAAAAATAGTTTCTATTTATTGAATGGTATGTGCCTAGCACTTAGGTCTTTTATGTCTGCTTTTCATTAAAAAACCCAACATAAAATTCCTGGCAAGGTAGGAAGTGTTAGCCCCATTTTAAAAAAGAGAAAACTGAGACAGCAGAGGAACAACTTGTTCAGTCTTACGCATCTCATAAGTGTTAGGACCAGAATTAGAACCCAGGTCTTTGTGGAGTTGGTAAATGATAGTTGTGTCAGCAGTAATTTGTCTACATGCCTGAGTAAGGCTCACCGACTAACTTTATACTGTTTGGCTTGGTCCCCATGATGACTCAGGTCCTTTGTTCGTTCTTTCTCTCTTTTTTTTTAAGCTTATTTTTTTATTTTGAGAAGGAAAGAGAGCATTAATGGGGGAGGGGTCAAAATCAAGTGTTGGATATTTAACTGACTGAGCCACCCAGGTGCCCCTTAGGTCCTTTATTCTTAATCAGGAGTTTAGAAACAGTATGAAACTTTTATCGAATAGAATTCTTTTCCTTTATGCCCACATCTCTGCCCTTTATATAAAGTTTCTGTAGCCTGTGAGCATAGTTTTATTTTTAGCTGCTTAACTTTGCACACTGTTTGTCCTTATCGATGAAAGGAAAGGACTCTTGGAAAAGGTAACCAAGTTGAGGAGTTTCTGGAGTGATCCCTAGTACACATGAACTCTTAGATTTCCTTATGGACTGATGAGAGTAAAATGCCTGTGTATTCTCAGCAGGGCTTTCTCTTAGTTCTGCAGTAATTGAGATTGTTCCCCCATTGTCTTGTAATTAAAGAATAATTTTCTCTTGGTTAGATCTAGATCTTGAGATTATATCAAAGATAAAGCTTAGGTGTAAGGTTACTGCACAAAACGCAGGTGTGAGTCAGGGAGGTGTGGGGCTTTCTTCTTATAGCTGTTCCTCCTATCAGGTATGCAGGGAAAGTTCCTATAATGTGCCTATGTGGAAGTGCAGGGAGTCTTGAACTATGTTTTTGTTATATTTATGAAACCCAAATAAATTTTTTAAAAAGGTTAGGAAGTGGGGTGTCTGGGTGGCTCAGTCAGTTAAGCATCTGACTTTGGCTCAGGTCATTATCACATGGTTCTTGAGTTTGAGCCCCACATTGGGTTCTCTGCTGTCAGCACAGAGCCCACTTCAAATCCCCTGTCCCCCTCTTTCTCTGCCCCTTCCTCACTCATGTGTGCTCTCTCAGAAATAAAATAGTAACACCTAAAAAAAAAAAAAAAAAAGTTAGGAAGCCCATTTTCCTTGATTAAAACCTATGCTGATGTCTAGGGAATTTGACCCCTTGGAAAGAAATAGGAGTACTGTGAAATAAAAACATACATGTGAAAGTAGGAACAGCTTTCATTCATTAAATAAATGCAGAAAAAAATACACTGTAAATGTAATCAGCAGCTTTGGGTATAGAAACCACCAAAGCTGTTCTTTTTTTTTTTTTTTTTTTGGTACTCAAGACCAAAAGCCAGCAAGTAAACAATTGCTAAAGTTTGACCTTCTCAACATTCCTATCTACTTACCACCCTTCTTATGGCTTCCTAGTATGTCCTGCTTTTCCTGTCCTTTTCCTTTTCATAAAAGTACCTTAAGGTTTGTTTTTTTAAATAGATAAAATACAAATGGCTCAAAATGTCCAAAGATAAAAAAAAGAATATGCAATGAAAGTTTTTTCTTTTGCTCTGTTTCCCAGCCATTCATTCTGCTTTCTGGAAGCAGCCATAGTTACTAGATTTTTTTTGTATCCTTTTGGTATATTCTCTGTATATACGTGTGTGTGTGTGTGTGTGTGTGATTTTTAACATAAATGGTAACACTTTTTTTCCTACTAGTATCTCAGTAGCTTTCTCTGTTCATTTTATGGGCACATATGTTCCACTTTATGGTCGTATCATAATTTATATATAGTCCTTTGGTTATAAAAATTGTTTCTTTTGCTGTTGGAGACAGTGCTGCAATGGATAGTCTCATACTTGCATGTGCAACACTCTTAGAGAGCAATTTCTGGTTCAATAGAGCAATTTCTGGGTCAAAAATACTTGCTGTGGAGTGCTTGGCTAGCTCAGTCAGTAGAGCACATGACTCTTGATTTCAGGCTTGTGAGTTTGAGCCCCACATTGGGCATAGAGATTACTTAAAAGAAAGATACTTGCTTTTAATTTTGATTGACTTTTCTGCTAACCTTTTTTTTTTACTCCTCGCTTTCCCTAATTGTTGTCTTATCGCCTCTGTATCTTTGTCAGGTTTGTCCTATGGGATTTGCTTTATGATCTCCACCTTCTTCTGTAAGATCAGTTTAATGCTACCTCTACAGGAGGCTCTCTTGATAATTCAGATCAGGTCATGGTATTTATTCCCTTGCTTCTCATGTCATTTATATGCTATCTCTCCTTTCAGATAAACTCGACTTAATATATATTTACCTTGACTTCTCAAAATACAGTTTTCTGTAGTTTTGTTTTTATCAGTTCTTGTTGTAATTAATGTTTAAAAATGATGGGTGAATAAACTACCAAAACATTATTCTATATTTACTAGCTTCTTGGCTTTGTAGAAAATATTAAAAAAAAAATCTTTGTAGACAACAAGTAAGTCTCTGCATGTGAAATCATAATTTAATGATAATCTTTCCAGATTTGATGTTGATATTTTATAATGAAGCAGTATTAGTTCTTCTGACTAGGAATTTTGCTACTATATGTTTTTGTGTGTTTGTAAATAGAAACAATCGTTTTTGTCATTTCACTTTTTGGTATTTTTGTCTCAGAGAAACTCAGCCATGGTTGATTCTGCAAAATGGATAGGAATAGATAAATTTAATTGATTTTGGTATTTCAGACAATTTATAAAAAATAGTAACAATTATTTTATGAATGTTAAAGTTAATAACACAGCCTAAAACTAGAGGGTGTCCTATGTATTTTAGAAGTTTTTTCTAGAATGATAAAATTTGATTCTGTATAGGCATATCCTGTTACTCAATGGACTTTCCATTTTACGCATTACATACTGGTACTGCCAGAATGCAGAGCACAGTCAATAATGCACACGTGTATGTGTGTTGGCATCGTACAAGTACTTGCATGTGTTTGTATTCTGTGGTATCTGTTTCATTACTTGGAATTTCTGCTTTTCACACTTAAGCCCAGGTACAAAGTAACATTTTCTTGGGGCACCTGGTGGCTCAGCCGGTTAAGTGTCCCACTTGGGCTCAGGTCATGATTTCATGGTTCATGGGTTCGAACCCCTCATCGGGCTCTGTGCTGACAGCTAGCTCAGAGCCTGGAGCCTGTTTCAGATTCTGCATGTCTCTCTCTCTCTCTGACCCTCCCCTGTTCATGCTATCTCTCTCTCTCTCTCTCTCTCTCAGAAATAAAAACATTAAAAAATAGCAAAGTAACAATTTATCATTTGTTATTGGAACATTTCTTTATTTGTTGAATTTGGGTAAGTATAGCTTGTCTCGGGGCACCTGGGTGGCTCAGTCAGTTGAATGTCTGACTCTTGATTTCGGCTCAGGTCATGGTCTCGCTGTTTTGAGGTTCGAGCCCCATGTTAGGCTCCATGCTGACGGCGCATTGCTTGCTTGAGATTCTCTCTCCTCTCTCTCTGCCCCTCGCTTGCACTCTCTCAAAATAAACTTCTAAAAAATTAAAAAAAATATATAGCTTGTCTCATCGTGCCAAAAAATGTGAAGAAACCTTTGCCCCTGTATCCCCATACATGGTGCTTCAGCAGTGTCCCTCTTTCTTGGCTCCTTCATTCAGAAGGGATGCTTCATGATCTTTGGGGCTTTTTATGTTTGCATTGTGCTCTCCAATGATTATTTCTCACCACATCTTTATGACACAGATTTTCTATAAGCACTAAGGATGGTAATCTTTATCTAAGGTTACAAACAAGTGGAGATCAGGAACAGTATTAAAATTGGAGCCACTGTTTTTTCCCTCGGGCTTTTCTCTTTTAATTCTGGTCTGTCATAGAGATACCATTTGGTTTTGGTTTTGTTTTTAATGTTTGTTTACTTTAGAGAGCGTGCGCACGTACGTACACACACACACACACACACACACACACGCTGGTGGGGGAGGGGCAGAGAGAGACGAAGACACAGAATCTGAAGCAGGCTCCAGGCTCTGAGCTGTCAGCACAGAGCCCGACGCAGGGCTCAAACTCAAAAACTGTGAGATCATGACCTGAGCCACCCAGGCAGCCCATCCATTTCCTCACTAATTCATAAGCACTTGTTGGGTGACATCACTCAAATAATTTCTATACAAAACAAACATTGCACCCAACATGATTACCAACCAGGAGAGACCTAAGTTGACTACAAAGGAAATTTTGAAGCTTCACATTGTATAATTGGGAAATTATTGAAAAGCTAACTGAAGTTTATTGGTTTTAACTTACCAAACAGTATTTTTTAAGACTTTCAGATAAGTCAATGAAGCTATTACCTAAGTGTTTAAAAATGGAGTTGTAAATGTATGTTTAGTCAGAATCAAAAAAATGCCCTAGTCCTAGAAGTAGCAGAACCTGTTTTTTTGGTAAAGATCACAAATTGAAAGAGAAATATAACATAACCTTTATAAAACAGCTGAGTGTTTCATGATCACAAGTAGGTTAAAAAATGTTTCTAATGGTAAAGGACATGTTAGAAAATAATGTGCTTTGATATAAGAAGAGAATCAACAGAGTCATGATTTGTTTGGACGCTTTCAAGAATGTACAGTGGGCAGATTGTTTTTTAAAAAAGAATGAATATGTGTTTGATGAAAGTGCAAATCAACATAACTACAAAGTACTGGTATTCATGATCCATTTGAGAAAAATTATGAGATATTAGTTTATTTTGGCGAGAGAATAAAACTATTTTTAATATGTGGTAGAATTTCAAATATGATCTAAGATACTAATCTTCCCTTTGAGTCATAAAAAAAATGGATGTCGTGATGAAAAAGTTTAAAGCACCTCCATAAATATGTAAAGGAACTACCAACTTGGAATACTTTTGACTGAATTTTAATATTTTTATTTATAGAAGTCTTAGGAGAAATACTTGAACATATATTAATATTTCGTTGCTAAAGAGTTCAGAAAAAGTTATAGTGAAGTGGTCGCGTGACTTCTGACTTAAGCTGCATTGGTTGGGTAGATGGTTTTCAGAATTTATGATTCCCAGGAGAAATTTTAGGGAAAGGGGGAAAATATATATTGAGGGAAACTCTGGTTGAAAGAAATTTCTTTGTGGAACCATTGCCTGAAAGAGTGGTGGAAGTTTTAACTCAAGACCAAGCCAGAAAAACTTGTGATCTAAAAGGTAAAAAGAAGCTCCATGCTGGCAAAATGTAGTCAGAAATCTTTTCTACCCATAGTGTTAAAAAGTACTTTATATGTGTATCATTGCTTGATTTATTTTATATACATAAACCTCTATAATCTTCAATTGTACCAGCTTCATTTTCTGTCAGCCTTCATTACTGTGCACTTGCCATGGTCTGTATTAGTATAAGGATTCCATATAATTTCCTGTCTGAATACAGTACAAGAAGTAACTTAAGAATAAGTTGCTGCTTATATTCAAGTTTTAGGCTAGAGCATAATTGTATATGAGTCAGTGCACTTTTTAAAGTATTTATTTGAAAAATGTTTTTTAAGTCAGAGATTAGGAACCCAGTACAGACTCGATAGAAAGTTAAAAAATTAGTATCTTTCAGTCTAAAAAATTAGTTTTAAATTCCTCATCTCTTAAAATGGTGTTTAGACCAAGTTTTCTGGTGAGGGCAACAAGTGACATTTTATCACTTGAGCATCTTCTAGAGAGGCCATGTAGGATAGTGAGAAAGCTCGGAGCCCATCCAGGAGGCACGGGTTAGAGTTGGTCCCATCTCTTTAACTCTCTGGTTGTAGGACTTAGCCATGTCATACACCCCTTTTCTTGTCCCTCAGTTTTCATCTCTAAAGTGAGGTCAGTTGAGATCACTGCAAGTCCAGTTAGCTCTAATGTTCTGTGTTTTCACATTTGTTTTAGGAGAATTTTTCCTTGTAGAGAAATTTTAGAATTCTCTTTGAAGAGAAATAAAACCTGGCGCAAGTGGGGACTGTGCTCTGAGGCGGGGCTGCAGCCCTTCACAACACTTTGCCTTCCTGAATGTTTGGCTGGGCAGGTGGAACCTCCCAGTGACGGTTGTTTCTTTTTGCTTTAAGGGGCTATCAGCAACAGGATGCCCATGAATTCATGCGCTACCTTTTGGACCACCTGCACCTGGAACTCCAGGGCGGTTTCAATGGTGTTTCCCGCTCAGCAATTCTGCAGGAGAATTCTACTCTATCTGCAAGTAACAAATGTTGCATGTAAGATGTAGTTTCCTTCTCTCTCTCTCTCTCGTTTTTTAGGAGGACCTTAGACATTTCTGTTGGTGTTATTATTTATTAGATTTGTAATGGGAGGTGGAGAGTTTTCCTGGACCTTTGCTGAAATTTTTGTGCACTTGAATTTAGTAACAACAGGTGGACGAGCACATGCCTTCTGCTTCCATACCAGAGGCATCCTGTGCTTGACTCTTGTGGTACCAATTGTTTTGGTATAGTTTATTTTAAAACATGAAAAGAACAGAAAGCACTTAAAAATTCCCTGCCAAACATACTGAATAATGTTTGGGAAACTTAATTTTCTATACTAAAATAATTATATTTATTCAGTAGAAACAAAGGCTAAAAATATTTTGAATATAAATTTTCCTAAAATATATCTGTTCTTGAATGAAATTGAGGCCTTTGTAAGTTCTCAGAATTTTTCTTGCCTCTCAATATGAATAAAACAAACCTTTTAGATTGTTTTCCCAGGTATTAATACCCCAAAATATACACGGAGATTGGAAAGTTTATTTTGCTTGAGGTCAGAATGATTTGCTGTTATTTCGGGCTGATTTTGTTTAAATGTAGTCTCCTTTTGTTCAAATTTTTTTTTAACTGACCTGTGTTAGAAAGGGATTTACAAGACAAATTTTTTGTATTGACCTGTGCAGGAAAGGGATTTACAAGACAAACTCCCTAGAGACAGAAGGAAAAGAGTAAGTAATATATGTCGGTCACTATAGTATTGCCTTGAAGTTCACAGATATGATTTAATGTTAAGTTAGGGTCCTTAAAAAGACAGCAGCCTCATAGCTAATCTGGCTGTATCAGAGAACGGCAACCATTTGAATTGCTGTACTTTTCAAAATGTTTGGCTCTCTAGCTATGATTCCAACTAGAATCCAGTACAGAAAGGGAGGGATCTGTGACCTGGTAGAACTGTTTTTGATGCTAGCACCAGGTTAACAATAGTATTAAGTGAAAAATTCTGCTTTGTATTTTAGGATGGTATTTCATATACTAAGAATATTGAACTGGGCCTCTATCAAGGATAGTCTGTGTGAAGTAAGAGGGCATATGTTATTATTTTATTTGATGCCCAGGGCATCCTCATGGAGTCACAATGTGTAACAGTCCTAGGATGATCTTCTAGTGACTAATGAGTTTTCAGTATTAGCCCATATCTTTTCATGGTATTTTAAAGAATAGTAAGTTCCATCAGTGAGTTAAGAACAGAAGAAAATTATCGTTCAGGATCTAAGGATCATATTTGCTAAAACTGCAAAAAAGGTCTCCTATGCAATATCTGTTTACTTGTGTAAACACAGCCAACCCTACTGAAGATGGAGATGGTAGAAATAAATGATAGATGTGGTCTTTTTAGTACATAGAAAATCATTAATGCTGATAGAAGGGACCCTAACAGTGTGCGCCTGTCTGAGTGACTAATATTTAAACACTCTTGGTGTAGTTAGAATAAATGGGAAAGCAGTTTTGAGATTATTTAAATCATTGTGTACCTAAACTTAATGCCATACACATCACAGTCAAGACTTGATTAGTAACCTTTTCTCAGAGAAAGAAATAAAGCAGTTTCCATTTTATTTAAGGTTTTCATTGTATGAGAACATCAGTATGAAAGGGTCATAGTCCCTTTATTTCAGTGGTTTTTTTGGTGTGTCCTGTGTTTATGGCATAGATATTAAACCTGAAACCTGAAATGGCTTTATGTCAGTTCCAATGTATCTTCCCTTTTTTAATTTACTAAATCTCTATATCTCATGAGCAACTTAAAAAAAAAAAAAAAAAAAAGATGAAGCTGCAGTGTATTTCTTTGCCAGTAAGGAACAGAAGCCATTTTATGGAAAAGGAAGCAAACTTTTAAAATAATATAATTGCTTGAGTAGATTTTGTCTGTCTCATTGTTGCAGTGGGTTTAATTTTGGAGCCAATCAGAAAGCCCGGTTAAGTGTTTTAGGATTATTGTTTGCAAGTGATAGAGAAACCACCTAAAACTGCTATTAGCAAAAAAGGAGCATCTATTGATTTAAGTAACTGAATATGTAAGTTCACAAAGGTTAATATATAAGTGTTTGCTCTAGGTACTATCAGTGATAGCAAACAGTTGAAACCACCTGAGAAACCATTAATATTATATTGGTCAAGTGAAGAAAAGGAACATAGTGGGGCTTCGGGTGGCTCAATTGGTTAAGCATCTGACTTCAGTTCAGGTCATAATCTCACGGTTGGTGAGTTCAAGTCCCACACCAGGCTCTGTGCTGACAGCTCAGAGCCTGGAGCCTGCTTCAGATTCTGTGTCTCCCTCTCTCTATGCCCCTCCCCTGCTTGCATTCTCTCTCTCTCAAAAATAAACAAACATTAAAAACATTAAAAAAAAAATAGAAAAGGAACATAGTGTTAAGAGCATCTACTTAAACCAGATCAGCTGTGTGACCCTGGGCCAAGTTGGATCTCAAATGGGATCTGAAATGGGAATAGTTGTATCTGTTTCAGAGTTGTTTTGCAGATGAATTGATTTAATAAATGGAAAGTACTTTGAATGTAGTTCAGCATAGATTAAGTGTTTTCTAAGTGTTTGCTAATCCTACTTTCATGGTGTACTTTGGTGGTGGTTCTTGTGTCCATTCTGTGTTTGTACTGTGGCATGCCATACTGCTGTCCCAAAGAGTGAGAGGTACATGTTCAAGGCCTATATTTCAAATAAGCAAGAAACATTAGCCTATATTATAAATAGTAGTCATAGTTATATTTCAATTTTATGTCACCAAATTATTTTTAAGTATCTGAAAAGAACCATGACCCAAGTCATACAGGGGGGGAGGGGGGGGGAGGAAGCAAAAGGCAGATATGAGCCTAATTATTATGCTAATAAAAAAGCCTTGAAGTAATTTGAGGGCTTTCTTTTTTGGTAAGCACTTGTCTGAAAGCACTGTACATGTAGATTCCATTTCATCTTCACACCAGCCGTCTGAGGTAGGGAGATGTTATTCCTGTGTGACATGTGATGTAACTGAAGCACAAAAAGTTAAGTACTTTAGGACAGTTGGTGGTGTTTTTTTAATCATTCTTAAAGTTGTATATTCTTGATCTCAACAAGGTAATTACTTACAGTATTACTTTAAGTGAGCTTTTTAAAAGACTTGTTGACAGTAACATCTAGCCTTCAACTGTGAAGTCACACCTCCATCAGTAATTAGTACGTATTAAATTTCTTCTTTTTCCTCAGTCTGACAGTTGACCATCTAAAAAATCTAAAACTATCCCTGAGTGAAGTTATTCAGAGTAATTGAGAGAGTTCCGTATGAGAGACCTTCCAAAAAGTTAAATATAAGGTGGTTTCCCTCTTTTCTGAGGGATATATGTATGGGGAAAAGGGTCCTCTTGCCCTGAGTATAGGCATATGCGTGATCTGTTAGTAATGGCAAATGTCCACTGTTAGTGGCTTTTGGAGAAACCAGTGGAATTGTAAGTGGTGCTGTGGTGGGGGTGGTGGGCAGTGGCTTAAACCTTTTATTTGGTAGACCTCTCTATAGCAGTAAAGTTTTTGTATTATTTCATAATTTGATTAAAATACTTAATGTTAAATAAATGACATACATATTTCCTCAAAGGAAGTTACCTATAGGAACTTTTATACATATTTATTTTTCACTGAGATATTTTCATGTGTGGTGATTTTCTTTAGAAATGGAGCATCTACAGTTGTCACGGCTATATTTGGAGGCATTCTCCAGAATGAGGTTAACTGCCTCATATGTGGGACAGAATCTAGAAAGTTTGATCCATTCCTAGGTAAGACATATTTGGCATGTGGCATTATAATAATTTATTAAACTGATGATAAAGAGATAAATGTACAAATCAGTTTTTGAAATTCTTTTCTGAATGTGGTATATGTCTTTAACAGCTGTTTTCCTGTTTCATTTTAAGACCTTTCATTAGATATTCCAAGTCAGTTCAGAAATAAGCGCTCTAAGAATCAAGAAAATGGACCAGTTTGTTCATTACGAGGTAAACCTACTTTAATGTTGTAGAATTATTTTTCCCCTGAAATAGCAGAGTAGACTCATAAACTCCATCTGCATGTGCTATGTTGTTAATTGCTTTAATCAATTTGTTTTATAACAAAAGTCAAACCTGTATGTCTTTTCCTATTGAACAAAAGAATGTGTGCCAGAGATACTAAATCAAGCCGAAGGGATTTCTCATCTTTTTCTTTAATACTGATTTAAAATTGAGAGTCTGTAACAGTTTCTGACCTAATGAAATAGAATTCATTTTGTGGATATACCACTAGTATCCCTAGGAGGAAAGAACATTCAGCTAAGTTTTAGATGTTATGGTGTTATTTTTTCGGTTCTGTGACTGAGTTTCAGAAGTCTGTTGATGGTATATCTGTTCGTTAAGCCTGAGGCCCAGGAACAGATTTGGAACAGATTTTTTCCTTGGTGAGTGTTAACCTCTTTAGTCAAGGCAAATGACTGATCTTTGGCCAGTCACTTAAGTGACTACTTGTTCTTGTTGATCATAAAAGGAAACTAAGGAGTTCTTTTATTGGTAACTCTACACTGAAGGCAAATAACATTGTTTCTACCCTGAATTGTCTGTTCACTAAAAGTAATTCTTTTTTCTTTAACTGTTCTAGGGAGCATTGTCATAAGAATTTTTATATATTTTATATATTAAACATATACACACATACACAGTCTTTTCCTACAAAAAATTCTAATTGGTTTAAAACTACGGTGTCAAGGTCACACCACATAGGTGGTTGGTAAAATGTAAATTAAAAAACTGTTGAGGGAAGGACAGGCTTCTCTGTGTCAGAGGTACACTGGGAAGCATCTGGTTTTGTTAAAAAAGGAGCCACAGAGGTGTGTAGCGCTGTCCCTCAGGCAGTCTGTTGAAATCTCTCAGCGGGTGGGGCAGGGCGAGAGACTGTCCAAGACACTGGACAGGAAAGGAACTCTGTGTATGAAAACCTTTCGTAGGTGCTTTCAGTTCCCCACCTTTGCAACAGTATTGATGGTCTCTTTTGATCACAAGTATAGAATATATTAAGCAAGTCCCATCTGCTCCTCTTCCCTCTACAAGAGGTGGTTACAGGATTTGAAAATATCATAGTATACTTGGTATCAGATATCATATTATTTTCTCTTTATATTGATGGCATGTGACCACAAGCTAACTTAATCATAAGATAAACATTTGATCATTTGGCAAGGAAAGCAGTGAGAAATTATCATCAAACTCTTATCTAAACTGGATATGGCTTTTTATAATTTTTTTCAATGAGAACAGTAATATTGACATTAGTTAAGAAAAACTCACAGGTGTTCTTCAGTATGTGAATATATATCTGGACAATATTTCCTAATGTTCAACAAAACCAGTAAGTCCAGACAATCTTGGAAAATCCAGAGACCCTGGTTTGTCCACGTTTCTTGCCTCCCTACTGTGCTGTGCGCCCCTATCCTGAATTAGTTATACACATGGTTATTCTAGTCCTTGTGGCATTTCACTTATTACCTATCCCAAAATGCTGCAATACTGAAAGACCTTTCTTGAGACTATCCAGGAGAAGAGAGAGTATGGACATAGCTAAAGTGGTTGATGGGTACTACAAACAGGTGGCAAATGGCATTTGCCTTGTTTCCCAAATCGTATTTTTCTTGGCGTAGACTCTATGAAATCTGATGTGATTGGGATTTAACTTCAGGGGAGGGGTTTAGGGTTTGGCTGGAAACAGGTTTCCTGTATTCTCAGCTGGTTTTCCTTTGAATTTTCAGACTTGATCTTTATTTTGTTAAAGAGATTACTGTTGGCTTAAAAAACTAGATGGTAGAGTTGGGTAACTTCTCATTCTTTGTTTATCACTATTATCAATTAAAGGTACTACTTCTCTTGTGACATCCAGAGTGTGATGAATTTTAGTCAATATGCATTTCTTTATTAAACAGAGATGGAGACATGATTACCTATTACATGCTTTTACCTGCTTTGTGCAAGGATTTCTTGTGTGTTTTTTGGATGGCAATTGATGAGCTTAGTTTTCATTTAAAAAGGAAAAATGATGGTGAGAAAAATCTCTGGAATTTGAAATTTAACTAAAAGCATGTGTATTATGAGAAGCTAAAATAACCCCACTTGTAAAGTCTGACAAAGAGCATCAAAAAGGAAAGATCTCATTATTATAGAGCAAAGAATCCTATATATAATAATAGCTAATAGTAGAATCTAATACTGTAGTTCAATAACATAAAAAGATCAAGTAGTATTTCTTCCAGCAGTATAGAACTGATACATTGGGGAGGAAGCATTTCTTCTGGCCTAAAAACCAAGCTGACAGGAGACAGATTAGCAGGAGAAAACCAAATTTCATTTCATATGTATGGGGAATGCACAAGGCCATGAAATTCTGAAGATCAGCAACATGAGGCTTCTCTGAGCTAAGGGGAAGAGTAGGAGTATCAGGAATACAAAAGGGAGAAAGACCATTAGCAGGAAGGTGAGAGGAAATGTTTGGAAAATAAAGGTGGTCCTGTTGTTACACAGGTAAATTTCTTCCTAAAGAGGAATCTCTTGTTAATGGTCTGTTCATGGTACAGGCTATCTTTTCCAATGTAAATTTAGGCAGTTGAGGGGAAGGTAAAGAACTTTTTCTGAATCTGCTGGGGTTTGTTTGCTTTAAACTTACAATAATGTTCATGCCAAAGTGGCCCATCTTGGGGGCAGCCTGCCCTGGGCCCCTGCAGCTTCCTCCTCTGAAACTTCTGGAAGTTTCACACATTAAAATTGAGCTGGTTGATTATTCTGTCTTGTTGAACCAGTCCTGGCCAATAGGTCAGGTCAGTTAAATTCATTTTGGGGGGCGTGATGCAGGTGTGTTCTTAAGTTAGGCCTACAGTTCAAGCAGTCAGGTATTCAATAAGAGGCATTGCTGTGGAAACTGATTAGATCAAAATTTAAGCTGGTTTCTAGGTTTTGAGTGTAGCCAGTTGAGAAGATTTCTAGATGTCAAGCTTGAAGGTTTTCAGTGCAGTGGCAGTCTGACAGATTTTCTCCCCTTTATAGTTGGAATGTCTCTGGTGATCTTTTTGAATGGCCCACAGAGCAAAAGGCATAAAGAGTGCCTGCATGTGTGCTGTTGTGTTGATTTCTCTGAACTTTACATAAATTTATTTGTATTTAATTTGGAGGGCTTCAGGGGAAAGGGCATTTTTCTCAGATGAATTCAATGTAGAAGGTTGGGAGAAAAATAAAAAATGTTATTTGGAGAATTATAGCCAGGCATTATAGGAAACTAGAAGAAAACAGGATCTAGTCTAGACTGTAATAAACAGTAATTAGAAGCTCATAGGTGTGTTATTGAAACCTATTTACTCTATAATCACTCTTCATAGATAGCCAAATTAATACTAATTTGTTTACAAAATAAGTCGTTTTAAAAAAACTTTGCCTGATCATTTATGTAAGTAGAGCAAGAATAGCAGTTGATCATGTAGACACTTTAAAACCTGCTTTGCCTGGAGCTTTTTCTAGATTGAAGTTTTAACAGCCTCTTGAGACCATACGCCCAACAAAACACCATCAGAACTTCTGCAACACCTATAGATTTGGGTGAATTCCTCTCTTCTCGAGTTCCTCAAATATCCTGAGGTTCCTGTACTTGCCAGGAAGTAACAGCATTTACTCACCTGGTAAGGCTGCTGGGAACTCTGTAAGCAAGGTACTAAATTGAGATCTCTGGGGGGCTGTATTGGCTTCCTAAACTCAACCTAGCTCCTTACAGCTGTCTGGTCATATTTGAATTTATGCATGTAGCTCTCAAATCTTGGTTATACAACTAGTGTTTCCAATTGTGTCCTGTGACCAGGAGAACAGATTTGAACTTGTGCAAATCAATATAAGAATACTTACTGAGAGTTTCTGAATTCTGGAGGGTTCAGGTAGGGAAAAAGATAAAATTTGTTTCAGTGGTAGTATTCTATCAAATTGCTCTAAGTCATTGAGCTTAAGAGAAAAAGGTTTTCTTTAAATTTAGAAAAACAGCATTTTAGAAAGTGAGCAATATTGTAAATAAAAAGTCATAAAATTTCAAATTATCCTAAAAAGTTCCTTCATTTCCATGTTACTAATTCTTATTTTGGTTGAATCCAGTTTTTCTATTCCTACCAGTTTCATAATCTTAGGCTTATCAGAAACCTGTATACTTAGAGTTCTTTATAGGAGTCTCAGTGAAGATAAGGCATATCTGCAATACCATCAGAGTAAAACAGTGACTGTATTAGAGTTCATTACAATGTTGAGAACAAGGAAATTTGGTTATTTATTTCTGTGACACACAACACATAATAACATACTAGGATATCAGATTTCGAGGGGTTTTATGTAAGTTTAGAAACTTATCTACATAAATATAATCTAAGAGGGTTTAATATTTGACAGTGTTTCCCACATAATTTAACATACCAGATAAACCTAATTAGTTTAATTTCTCACAAAAAGTTTGAAATATTCTAGGACTGCTCTGGAACACCTTAGACTGGGGTCAAAAGACTTGATATTAGGATTTGATTTTGGGAAGTATGAAAAAAAAAAACATTAAAAGTTTTGGATACCTGATTAAGAGGATCACAGATCATTATGAAACAAGAATTATTTAACCAAAGTGACAATAAGATATTTCAAAGGCAAATATAGAACCTTACATAGTTGTGAGCTAAATATAGCTTTTTTAATCTTAAGACTCAGTTTTCTTAAGTAATCAAAGACTTGCTTGATAAACAGGAAATGATCACAGAATCCTTGTTTTCTAGGCAGAAAACCTTGGCCTTTTAGCAAAGAGAAAAAAGTTTCAAATTTACAGTGTATTTTTGATACTAAAAGTTGTTTATCCTAATTCCTTTACAAAGCTTTCTAGTAGTCTTAATTACATTTATTAGAATTCTTAAGTCATAGAAACCTTAGTTTCTAGTGAAAACTAAGTGGTGAGCAATTGTGAAGTTATACAGTATTCTTTAGAATGGCAAATTTGTGAACACACTTCATAATTTCTAAAAACATAGTTTTTCAGTAAAACACAAACCAGGTTTACTAACAACCTTATGAACCTATGTTCAGTACTTAAGGTTTTATTATTTTAACTTCACCCATCATTTAACTTACTTTCAAGGATTTTAGAATTTCTTAACAATTCCCACAAAACTTCATGAAGCATTAGACAAAAATCAATCAGAATTCAAATTTTTTCCTGAAAAATTCGCAGAGATGAACTTATTTGACCTAGTAAACACAGGTAGAATGACCGTCTTACATTTAATGCTGATAATTCTCTAAAGACGTTTTTAATTAAACTAACAACTTTAAATTAGCTTTAATACTGAAGGATTTCCCAGATCATGAGAATTTGGAAAGCATTTGGGTTAGTTCTTATCTTTCTGAGTTTTGGAATTCCCAGTACTTACAAGTTCTTGGCTTCAAACCAACCAAAAAGAGCTCTTTCACAAATTAATTTTGGTGATAACATCTGGAGGTAGAGAAAAATATCTTACATTTGTAACATATATGCACATACACAGTCAAGAAACAAAATAATCTAGCTTTTATTTTTACTGATGTTTGTGGAGAGGACATTTAAGGCCCAAGTTCCAAATACCTCCCTTTATTTACAAACTTCTCTAAAGTTTGTATTTCAAAGAATGGCTTTTAGGTCTTAGAGAAGATAGGGACAGAAAACTTACATCAAAGAGAAAGAATCCCACATTTTGGAGAAAATGGAAATCTGGAGCATATCTGCCTATTACCAGAGGTGCTGGAATCTGGGTGCAAAACATTTTAGCAGTATGCATTTTAAAAAGGTCTTTTTCTTCAGTCTCAGGTGACTGTGGGCTGTATTTATATTTTAAAGACATGGTATTTATAATTGTAGGGGTGCCCGGGTGGTTGATTAAGCATCCACCTCTTGATTTTGGCTCAGGTCATGATAGAATAGTTCGTGAGATGGAGCCCCACATTGGGCTCTGTGCTGACAGTGAGGAGCCTCCTTGGGATTCTCTCTCGCCCTCCCCTACTCACACTCAAATAAATAAACATTAAAATTTTTTTTTTAGAGTTTCAGGGCAATTGCAGTTTAAAATGTATTTTTTTTAAAGTACAAGACAATTTTGTTCCAGTATGCTGATCTTTTATAATTAATAGCTACTAACATTTTGAGGGGAATAGGGGACATTTACGTATTGGTAAAGATAGCTGGGATTTGACTTATATCTAGAGATGCATTTCTAGTTTTGTAGAGGTTTGTAAGGCAACTGTTTGTTATTCCCAAAGAACTACCCCCCTTTTTTTTTAATATCAGGGAGATTTTTTAATTAAAATGGGAATTGAAAGATACCTATCTTTGTAAAGTTCGTTTAAAGCATTTTAACAAAAACTTTCTTGCAGCATACATAATTCAGTCTTGACTTCTATTAGCCCCTGAATGCTGGACTTTGCAGATCATTTGTGGGAGGGCATAGGAGAAAGTTTGGTCTTCTCTTCTTCTCTGAGAAGGGGGTCTAGGATACATCTGCAAAGTGTATTGCATAGGAATGTCCGAGGCTAGCAGAGCCTGCTTACAGAGCCCTGGAAGGTAGGAGCAAAGCAGGCCTTACTACCAGTCTCATGTGCTCTTGTCAATCTTATTACCTGGCTTTCAGCTTCTACTTGAGCAACCTGTATTCTTTGAACCTAGAGATTTGGCTCCTTGTAATTCTTGTAGGAAAAGGGAATTTCCAACAGGCAGATGAGGCCAGATTTTAAGGGAATTTTACACTGAATATGAACATTTATTTTTGTCAAGGGAGTCCCTAAGCCTCACTTTTAAAAGGGCATAGATGATCCAGCCCCCATGATCTAAAAGTCTGCTCCCAAAATTAAAGGAATTCATTGCACAGGCAGTAAGGATGGTAAAAACAGGTTCTCTGGTCTCCCAGGAAAACAAAAGATTCCTTCAGTCACAGCCTGCTCATCTGTAACACTGGGCAGGCAACCAGCATTAACAGGCAATGGTGATTGAGGTGGCAAATATATATATATATACACACACACACACACATATATATATATATATATTTTTTTTTTTTTTTTTTGAGAGAGAGAGAGAGAGAAGTGGGACTCATGCTCACCAGAAGCAGGCAGGAGCTTGCCTGAAGCATGACTCGAACTCATGAACTGTGAGATCATGACCTGAGCCAAAGTCAGATGCTTAACAACTAAGCCACCCAGGTGCCTGAGATGACAAAGATTCTAAAGGGGTGGGACCTCCCATGACAAACACCCTGAGAGATGGCATGGCCAGAGGGAGAGAGCTGGCACTGGCCATGAAGGTGCACCTAGGTAAACGCACCCTCTGGATGGTGAAAAACAAAGAGAATATTCTCACTGGTCATAAAGCTACACTTAAAGGATACAGAATAAATGAGAAAAAATACAGATGAAAGAAAAAATATCTCATATAGATGTTAACAGCTTTGGTTCCAAGAAACCCAAGGTTTAGCTACATTAATACCTAGAAGGGATATGCTGTAGGGTTGGGGACTGTGTGTTGTTTTGCAGTGTACCTTATTACAAGTAAGTTTGCTTGAGGTTAGTGGGTAACCTAATGCCAGTCTAACCTGTTCTGGGATCATCTTACCCTATCACAAGAGTCTTCTCGCGGTAGTGATAGTGAGTGCCCTAATGACTTTAGCTTCCAAGAGGTCCCTTAGCAACAGTCTTTATGTGCATATTCAAAGTTCATATGACAAATGACTTAAAACACAAACAGAAAAATCCCAAAACGTTTTTTGGGAGGAAATGAATCGGTAATCAAAAGAGTACTCTACCAAATTTAACCAGAGTCGCTAAGCCTAAGAAAGTAGGTTCTACCAATATTTTCTTCTGCTAATCTAAATGTAGCAAGGGAGAAAGAGGACTCTCCAGACTCTTGCTCTGTTGGACTCTGCAGGCAGAGATTTTGGGAGGTTGACACAGTAAGAAATCTTACCTTTTGCCAGGTATATGTCAGATGTCCCAAGGATCTCTGTTGCACTGGTGTCCATATTGATTATGTCAGCTCTTGAAGAATCTCCTCTGCCCTTCAAGGTCCTTCTAGCGGGACAAAGAATCAAATTTAGTTTTGTATGTATGTACAGGAAAGCCACACAGAAATGAAATTCTAAGGACCAACAATATGAGGCTTCAACAAGCTAAGGAGAGGGGTAGGGGTCTGAGGATTCAAAGGGGACAAGAGATGTTTGGAAAACAAAGACTGTCCTGTTATTTAGGCAGGTAAGTTTCTTAGGTAATGAGGAATCTCTTCCTAGTGTAAGTTGGCAGTTGAGGGAAGGTAAAGAGCTTTTCCTGAACCTGCTGGGTTTTGTTTAACTCAAAATAATGTTCATGTAAAGTGGCCCATTTTAAAAATTACAAGGGCACCTGGGTGGCTCAGTCAGTTGTGTCTGACCCTGGATTTTGGCTCAGGTCATGATCCCATGGAAGTATATATAGAATGATTCAATTTGTATAAAATAAACATCCAGATGTGTATTAAATTCTTGAGCAGCATACTCCATCTGTTCACAGTGATTTCTTAGGGATAGGCATTCCAGAAGCAAGCGAACTGTGACTTCCTTTTTCAGGCTCTTTTATGTTGTTTGAATTTTTTTAACCTATTCTGTCACTTTTATAATTATGTATTTGCTTTGGGGGAGTAAAACAAAATATGGATTAATTTAAACATACTTCCCAATTACTGTTTCACTAAATTTATATAGTGCATAAAGGGGATCTAATAATGTCAACAAACCAGTTTTATTCCCTGCTCTCCATAGGGATGTATTTAACAGTTTATATAATGTGGAAGACTGACACTTGTGAAATATATGCCCTGAAACCTTTGAGAATCTTAGGAGTTTCAAAAACCACCATGGCATATATTTTTTTTTGCTCATGAAATGCAGTAAAGTACAAATGAAAAAAGTTTAAGCAGCTTCCTCAGATGGAAGGTGTGAAGGTAAGTGGAGAACCACAAAGCTTTGCTGAGATGTGAATGCCGGGTAGCTAGTAGACTGTTCATTAGCCGTGTGATTCACTTTCACATAGTAGCTTTGGAAAGTGAAATTTGTGTTCATGCCTGTAGTTATTTCAGGGTCATTCAGACTTTTCAGATAATTAAAATGGCAGGCGTCAAATCTGTGACTGTCGGGTAGGCTGTGCCTAGGCAGTCTTCCTCTTTGAGAAAAAACGACTGTATGCACATATGTGTCAATAATAAAAATCAAAGGACATAAAGTGTGTATATTCATTGTAGAATTTAGGGAAGATTCAAAAGAATACAAAGAGGAGAATAAACGTCCCTTCTAATTCTATCCAGCAATACCATGGTTAAGGGTATTTTTACTTAAAAATGGTTTTAAAAGCTGTTTTATAAAAGGCAGCAGTTGGAAATTTAGAATTATTGTTGATTGTTACTGTTTTAGCCCATAGAAGCCATTACAAATAGGCATTAGTTTTAAGGAGAACTAACAAGAAGCTTTAGAAACCAATCTGGGGAAGACTATGTGGGTAGTTCTCCACTAATCCAACTAAGGTATATAATGTTGCTTCTTTATTCAATCTAGAGGCTGCCCCTGGACAGGACAGTCTTCTGACTTTGTTGTAGTTGTGACAGTAAAGCTGCCTCATTGTCTGGGAGTACAGCAGCAGGTGTGGGCTGTTGAGCCTCTTGCATCAATAAAGAGGTGTGAGAACACAAGATTGCTTTTAGAGACAGTTGGGGTCACCATTTTAGAAACTGAAGGTTTGAAAAACCAGATTAAGCTTGTATGGCTTAGTTATGAATTGTCTAATGAGCCTTTCCTGTCTTCTGTTGTATTTTGGTTTATCATAAATCCGTTTACTTGGTGGTCGCCCTTTATGTTTAAGCCCCTCAAAAGAAATGGAGCAAAACCTGACCTTCTGTGCCCCTGCAGCTGTGGCAGAGAGGCCAACTGCAAGCAGCTAGGCTGAATGTGGGCTTCACCTAACAATGAGCCCAAGCTGGCCTCAGATAGGCATCTCTATGGCATAGGGACCAAACTGTGCAGCACCCTCAGAAGGCAAAGTAGGCCATTGCAGCTCCCTGTGCTGAAGGCATATGTGTCTTACCCTACAATAATAGGTCACTAGTAACCCACACAAAGGGCACCCATGGCATACCTGGTTCTGGTGACCTGAGGGGGGTGTTGTGCTGCAGAGCACCACAGGACCTCTTCTACACAAGGCCACCACTTTTTTAAGACCAGAAGATGTAGCTGACCTACCTAATAGAAGCAAACACACAAAGGTTCAGAACATGAGAGAGAAACATGTCCCAAATGAAAGAGCAAGACAAAAATCACAGTGAAAGAGCTAAATGAGATGGTAATAGTCAATATAGACTGTTAGAGAATTGAAAGTAATGGCATTAATATACTCACTGGACTTAAGAGTGGATGAACTCAGTGAGAACTTAAAAGAGTAAATAAAAAAAACCAGTGAGAAGTGAAGAATTCAATAACTGAAATAAAAAATGCATTAGAAAGAGCAGATAGTCATCTGGAAGACCAGGTAATGGAAAGCAACCAAACTAAATGGTGAAGAAAAAAGAAAAGTGAGAATAGGTTAAGGGACCTCAGTGACATCATCAAACATTATAGCACATTAATGCTATATGAATAGTAACATTCACATGATAGGGATCTCAGAGAGAAGGAAGTAGAAAACTTATTTGAAGAAATAGCTAAAACCTTCCCTAACCTGGCTCCGGAGAGAAATAGACATCTAGGTCCAGGAAGCAGAGAGCTCCTAACAAGGTGAACCATCTTGGTCCGTTCCAAGACATAATAGTTAAAATGACAAAAAGTAATGATAGAGAATTTTAAAAGTAGAAATGGAAAAGAACATACAGTCATATACAAGGGAGATCCTATAAGGCTATCAGCTGATTTCTCAGTAGAAAGTATAGGACAGAAGGAAATGGCAAGATATATTGAAAGCGCTGAAAGGAAAAAACCCTGCAAACCAAGAATACTCTATCCAGCAAGGTAGTCGTTCAGAATAGAGAGTGAGATTGAGTTTCTCAGACTCAATTAAAGGAATTTATCACCAAGAAACAAGCCTTTTAAGCAGTTTAAGGAATTCTTTAAGTGGAAAAAGCCGTAACTAGAAGAAAATTATAAATGGAAAATTTACAGGTAAAAGCAAATACACAGTCAATGTAGTAGATTAATCATTTATGGTGGTTAAAACACAGTAGCAAAATAGAGTATATCTACAAAAACCAGTCTAGGGATAAACAAAGATGCAAAATATATCATACGTAATAGGGAGGAGGAGTAAAAATGTAGTGCTTTTAGAACTTAAGGAATCGTCAACTTAATATAGACTGCTAAACACCTAAGGTGTTATATATGAACCCAAGTGCCACCATAAATCAAAAACCTATAGTAGATACAGATACACAAAAAATAGAAAGGAATCCAAGCATATCACTAAATAAAGCCATCAAACTACCAGGGCAGAGAGCAAGAAAACAAGAAAGGATCATGCTTAACTTAAATGTAAGTGGATGAAATGTTCCAATCACAAGATATAGGGTAATGAAATAGATTTAAAAAAAAGAACTGTATGCTTCCTATAAGAGACTCACTTCAGACCTAAGGAAACATACAGACTGAGAGTGAAAGGATACAAAAACATATACCATGCAAATGGAAGCAAATAAAACACACCAACCACCCACACCCACCCACCCAAAACAACCAGAGGTAGCCATAGACAGTAGACTTTAAAACAAAGACTGTAGCATGAGACAAAGAAGGGCACTACATTAAGGGATTGATCCTACATGAGAATATAACAATTATAAATGTATGTGCATCCCAAATAGCATCTAAACACATAAACCGAATACTAACAGCCTAAAGGGAGTAATTGACAATAATACAATGATATCAGGGGATTTTAACACCCTACTTACATCAGGATGGATAGGTTATCCAGACAGAAAATCAATAAAGAAACAGTGCTTTTGAATGATATATTGGACCAGATGGGCCTAACAGATATATACAGAACATTCCACCCAAAAAAAAAAAAAAAAAACCAGTAAAATACACACTCCTTTCAAGTGCACATGGCACATTCTCCAGGAAAGATCATGTTAGGCCACAAAACAGGTCTTTTGAAATCCTATCAAGTGTCTTTTCCAAACATAATGATATGAAAGTACAAATTCATTACAAGAAAAAAATCTTGGAAAAACACAAAACAGATGGAGAAAACAACATGCTACTAAATAACTAATGGGTCAGTGAAGAAATCACAAAAAGGCATACCTCAAGAAAGAAAATAATTTTCAACCTAATTTACACTAAAGGAGCCTGAACAGAACAAATGAAGTCCACAACTAGTAGAAGGAAATTTTTTAAAAAATAGAAAAGATCAATGAAACTAAGACAGGCTCTTTGAAAAGATAATTGATAAACCTTTAGCCCAACTTATCAAGAAGAAGAGAGGACTCCAGTAAATCAGAAGTGAAGGAGACATAACAAATACAAAGGATAAGAGAGTATTATGAAAAATTATATGCAACAAATTGAACAACCTAGAAGAAAGGGATAAATTCCTAGAAACCTACAATCCTTTAATACTGAATCAGGAAGAAATAGAAAATTTGTACAGACCAATTACTAGTAGTGTAACTGAATCAATAATAAAAAAAAACAAAGTCCGTGACTAGATGACTTAAGAGGTGAATTCTGTCAAACATTTAAAGAAGAGTTAATACCTGTTTTTCTCAAACTATCCCCAAAAATAGACTAGGGAGGAAAACTTAAAATTTATTCTACAAGGCCAGCATTAACTTGATAACAAAACCAGACAAAGACACTAAAGAAAACCAAAAAACTATAGGCCAGTATCTCTGACGAACATAGATCCAAAAATAATAAAGTAGTAGCAAAGCAAATTCAACAATACAGCAAAAACAAACAAACAAAAAAACAAACCACCACAATTAAGTAGGATTTATTCCAGGGGTGCAAGGGTGGTTTACTGCTCACAAATCAATCAGGGTGATAGAGCATATTAACAAGAGGAAGGACAAAAACCCTATCATCATCTCAATAGATGCAGAAAAAGCATTTAACTTTCAACAAAGTAGATTTAGAGGGAATATACTTCAAATAATAAGTCACATAATACAAACCCACAGCTAACATAGTAACTCAATAATGAAAAAGTAAGTACCTTTCCTCTAATGTCAGGAACAGGACAAGGATATCCACTCACTGTTTTTATTCAGCATAGTTCTGGAAGTTCTACCTGCAGGTGTCAGACAAAAAGAAAAGGCATCCAGATTGGTAAGACGTAAACTTGGCATTATTTGTAGATGACATGATAGCATATGTAGAAAACCACCAAATAACTAGTAATGAAGGAGCAGAAAGAAAACAATCCTGGAGCAAAAAGAATAAAATATCTAGGAATAAATTTAACCAAACAAGTGAAAGATCTGTACTCTGAAAACTCTAAGACATTGATAAAAGAAATCAAACATGATACAAAGAAATGGAAAGATATACCATGCTTGTGGGTTGGAAGAATATTGTTAAAATGTCCATACCACCCAAAGCAATCTACAGATTGAATGTAAATCCTATCACAATGCCAATGGTATTTCTTATACAAGTAGAACAACCCTAAAATTTGTATGAAAGCACAAAAGATTGCCAAAGCCATCGTGATAAAGAAGAATGAAAGTGAAGGTATCACAATCCCAGATTTCAAGCTATACTGCAAAGCTATACTAATAAAAAACAGTGTGGTACCAGCACAAATAGACTTGGAGATCAGTGGAACAGAATAGAGAGCCCAAAAATAAATTCACAACTATATAATCAGTTAATCAACAACAAAGGAGGCAAGAATATACACTGAGGAAAAGACATTTCTATAAATTGGACAGCTACTTGCAAAAAAGTGAAACTGGACCACTTTCTTATACTACACAAAAATAAACTCCAAATGGATTACAGACCTAAATATAAGACCTGAAACCATAACACTCCTGAAAGAAAATCAGGTAGTTATCTCTTAGACATCATCCTTAGCAACATATTTATGGATAGGTTTCCTCAAGCAAAGTAAACAAAAGCAAAAATATACTGTTAGGACTACACCAAAATAAAAAGCTTCTGTACAGCAAAGGAACCAACAGAACAAGAAGGCAATTACTGAATGGGAGGAGATATTTGCAAATGATAAATCCCATAAGGGGTTAATATCCACAACATACACAAACACACACATATACACACACACACATACACAAACACACAACTTGACACAAAAAAAAATCCAATTAAAAAATTGAGAACTTGAATAGACATTTTTTCAGAGGAGACATACAGATGGCTAGACATATGAGAAGATGCTCAACATCACTAATCAGGGAAATGCAAATCAAAACCGGAATGCGTTATTACATTATACCTGTCAGAATGGCTAGTAACAAACAGATAAGCATCAAGTGTCAGCAAGGATGTGAGAAAAGAGAATCCTAAGTGCACTGTAGGTAGTGTAAATTAGTGCAGCCCCCTGGGGTAAACAATACGGAGATTCCTCAAAAAAATTAGAAATACCATATGATCCAGTAATTCCATTGCTGTGTACTTATCCAAAGAAAATGAAAACACTAATTCAAAAAGATATATTCACGCCTATGTTTATTGCATTATTTATAATAGCTAAGATATGGAAGCAACCTAAGTGTCCATCAATAGATGAATGGATAAAGAACATAGGATATATATAATGTATATTACTCAGTCATAAAGAATGAGATCTTGCCATTTGGGACAACATGGATGGACTCAATAAGGAAACACTGGTTTCAAATGACACGTTAGACCAGATGGGCTTAACAGATCTGTACAGAACATTTCATCCAAAAGCAAAAGAATGTACATTCTTCTCAAGTGCACATCCTCTTGAAATGGAACATTCTCGCAGAAAGATCATCTGTTAAGCCACAAAAGAAGTCTTAATAAATTTAAGACGATTAAAATCATATCAAGCATCTTTTCTGACCATAGGAGTATGAAACTGGATATCCATTATGAAAAGAAAACTGGAAAATCCACAAATATTTGGAGATTAAAGGACATGCTACTGAACAACCAATAGGTCAAAGAAGAAATTGAGAAATTTTTAAAATGCCTTTAACAAATGAAACTGGAAACAAAACATACCAAAACGTAAGGGCAAAAGCAGTTCTAGGAGGGAAGTTCATAGTGTTAAATACCTATCTTGAGAAACAAGAAAAATCTCGAATAAACAATAAACTAACTTTACATTTTAAGGAATGTATCTTTACATTTTAAGGAAAGAAAAAAGAACAAACCAAGTCCAAAGTTAGTAGAAAGAATAAAGATTGGAGTGGAAACAGACGAGACTTTAGACCATAGAAAAGATAAGCGAAACAGCTGGTTCTTTGAAAACATAAAAGTTGACAAACCTTTTGCCAGACTCACAGAAACAAAGACAGGACTCAAGTAAAATCTGAAAGGAAAGAGGAGACATTAGAACTGATACAACAGAAATACAAAGGATCATGAGTATTACGAACAGTTATACACCAAGAAACTGGACAACCTAGAAGCAATGGTTATATTCCTGGAAACATACAACCTACTAAGACTGAATTATGAGGAAACAAATATGAACAGATTGGTTACTAGTAAAGAGATTGAATCAGTAATTGAGAACCTCCCAACAAACAAGCCTGAGACTGTACAACTTCAGTGATAAACTCTTTTGAACGTTCAAAGAATTCATATCAATCCTCAGACTTCTCCAAACAAAAGAAGAGAATGCTTTTTAAAAAATGTTCCTTTTGGGGCGCCTGGGTGGCTTAGTCGGTTAAGCGTCCGACTTTCGCTTAGGTCATGATCTCGCGGTTCGTGGGTTCGAGCCCCACGTCGGGCTCTGTGCTGACTGCCAGCTCAGAGCCTGGAGCCTGTTTCAGCCTGTGACTCCCTCTCTCTCTGACCCTCCCCTGCTCACGCTGTCTCTCTCTCTCCTAGAAATAAATAAAACATTAAAAAAAAAAATTCTTTCTAAGAAAGGTAACTTTTTATTTTTGCAACTTTCTTTTAATGTTTATTTTTGAGAGAGAGACATGGAACAGGAGCCGGGGAGGGGCAGAGAGAGCCGAAGCAGGTTCCAGGCTCCGAGCTGTCAGCACAGAGCCCANACTGCCAGCTCAGAGCCTGGAGCCTGTTTCAGCCTGTGACTCCCTCTCTCTCTGACCCTCCCCTGCTCACGCTGTCTCTCTCTCTCTCCTAGAAATAATAAAAAAAAAAAAAATGTTCCTTTGTTTTTGAGAGAGAGGGCGAGAGAACGCAAGGGAGGGGTAGAGAGAGGGAGACAGAATCCCAAGCAGTATCTATGCCTTCAGCATAGAGCCCAATGCGGGGCTTGAACACACAAACCATGAGATCATGACCTGAGCTGAAACCAAGAGTTGGACGCTTAACTGAGTCGCCCAGTTGCCCCAAGGAGAGAACACTTTTAAACTCATTTTACAAGGTCATATTATAATGGCCTTGATACCAAACTAGACAAGGGCGCCATAAGAAAAGCTGATGTTTCTGATTAACATAGATGCGGAAATCTTCAGCAAAGCATTAGCAAGATGAATTCCATCAACAGTTGTTGTTGACCCTTGAATAACATGGGTTTGAACTACATAGGTCCATTTATATGTGAATTGTTTCAGCTAATACAGTATAATACTATAAATGTGTTTTTTCTTCCTTGTGATTATTTTTATTATTTTATTTTTTCTCAAATAGTTTATTGTCAAGTTGGTTTCCATATAACACCCAGTGCTCATCTCAACAAGTGCCCTCCCCCATCAGGCCTCAGTTTCTCCTCAGCATTCAAGAGTCTCTCATGGTTTGCCTCCCTCCCTCTCCCCAACTATTTTTTCCCCTTCTCCCTCATGGTTCTCAGTTAACTTCCTCCTAATCCACCTATACGTGCAGACATATGGTATCTGTCCTTCTCTGCCTGACTTATTTTGCTCAGCATAACACCCTCAAGTTCCATCCTTGTGATTATTTTTAAAGCTTATTTATTTTGAGAGCATGAGCATGTGCGTCCAAGTGGGGGAGGGGCAGAAAGAGGGAGAAAAAGAATTCCAAGCAGGTTCCTTGCTGTCAGCACGGAGCCCAACATGGGGCATGATCCTACAAACCCTAAGATCATGACCTGAACTGAAATCAAGTGTTGGACACCTAACCAATTGAGCCACCCAGGAGCCCCTTCCTTGTGATTTTTTTTTAATAACATGTTTTTTCTTACTTTACTGTAAGAGTACAGTATATAATATATATAATATACAAAATGTGTTAATTGTGTTATTAGGATTTTGGTCAACAATAGGTTATCAGTAGTTAAGTTTTGAGGGAGTCAAAAGTCATACATGGATTTTTTTTTTTTTAATACATGGAGTTTCAACTGCACAGGAGATTCTTGCCCTAAACCTCCATGTTGTTCAAGGGTCAACTGTACACTAAAGGATCATATACCATAATCAGGTAGGATTTGCTCCAGGATGTTGGGATGGTTTAACATCTGCAAGGCATTGTTATACAACACATTAACAAAATGAAGGATAACAATTCTAGGATTATCTCAATAGATGCAGAAAAAGCATTTGGCAAAACTCAACACCCATTTATGATAAAAATTCTTTAAGTGGGTAGAGAGGGTACCTTCCTCAACATAGTAAAGGCCATATAGGACAAGCCCACATCCCAACATAATATTCAATGTGAAAAGTGGCAAGCCTTTTCCCAGAGATAAGAATAAAACAGGGATGTCCACTTCCACCACTTTTATTCAATATAGTATTGAAAATCGTCACCAGAGCAATTAGGCAAGGAAAGAAAAAAGGATCCTATTTCAAAGATAACACCATATTATGTATAGAAAAACCCGTAATAAGATTCCACCAAAAGACATATTCATCAAGTTGCAGCATCAAAATCATTATGCAAAAATCTATTGCATTTCATGCACTAATAATGAAGTATCAGATAGCCCCTTTACAGTTGCACCAAAAAGGATACCTAAGAATAAATTTAACTGAGATAAAAGATCTGTACACTGGAAAGTCTAAGAATGAAGAAAGAAAGATGACACAAACAAATGGAAAGACCTACTGTGCCCATGGATCGGGAGAATTAATGTTGTTAAAATGTTCACATTACCCTAAGCAATCCCCAGATTCACTGCAATCCCCATAAAAATTCCAGTGGTATTTTATATAGAAGGAGAACAAGTAATCATGAGATTTGTATGGAACCACAGAAGACCCCAGATAGCCAAAGAAATCTTGAGAAAGAAGAACAGGCTGGAGGCATCTGGGATTTTTTTTTTTTTTTTTTGGTTTATGTATTTATTTTGAGAGAGAGCAAGAAAGTGTGATCAGGGGAGTGGCAGAGAGAGAGGGCGAGAAGGAGAATCCCAAGCAGGCTCCACAGTGCCAGCCTGGAGCCCAACCCAGTGTTCAAACTCACAAACCATGATATCCCAACCTGAGCCAAAACAGTCATATGCTCAACCGACTGAGCCACCCAGTTGCCCCACACTCCTTGATTTTAAACTAAATTACAAAGCTATCGCAGATTAAAACAGTATGGTTTTCGCGTAGAAACAGGCATATTTATCAGTGAAACATAATAGAGAATCCAGAAATAAATCCATACATGGCCATTTTGCAACAAAGGAGCCAAGAATATACAGGGGAAAGGATGGTCTCTCCAAAAATGATGTTGGGAAAACTGGACGGCCACATGCAGAAGAGTGAAAATGGACTACCTCGTTAATTCAAAACTGGTTTGAAGAATGGAGCCCTAGGACCCGAAACCATGAAAATCCTAGGAGAAAACATAGGTGATAAGTTCCTTGACATACGTCTTGGCAGTAACTTTTTGAATCTGTCTCCAAAAGCAAAGCCAACAGAAAAATAAGTAAGAGGGATTACTTCAGAGGCGCCTGGGTGGTTCATCTGGTTAAGCGTCTGAGTCTTGATCTTGGCTTAGGTCTTGATCTGAGGGTCATGAGTTCAAGCCCTGCACTGGGCTCCACACTGGTCTTAAAGTCTGCTTAGAAAAAGAGGGATTAGGGGCGCCTGGGTGGGTTAGTCGGTTAAGCGTCCAGTTTCAGCTCAGCTCATGATCTCACTGCTTGTGGGGGTTGAGCCTCGCATCAGGCTCTGTGCTGACAGAGCCTGGAGCTTCCTTTGAATTCTTTGTCTCCCTCTCTCTCTGCCCCTCCCCCACTTGCACTCTCTCTCTCAAAAATAAATAAATGTTAAAAAACTTTTTTTTAAAGAAAAAAAAAGAGGGATTACTTCAAACCAAAAACTTACGCACAGCCAAGGAAATAAGGCAACCTACTGAATGGGAGAAAATGTTTGCAAGTAGTATTTGCTAAGGGGTTAATATCCAGAATATATAAACTCATACAATTCAATAGCAAAACCACAAAACCCAAACCAGTTCAGTTTAAAAAATGGGCAGAAGACCCTAATAGACATTTTTCCATGGATGACATACAGATGGCCAACAGGTACATGAAAAGATGCTCTACATCACTGATTATCAGGGAAATGCAAGTCAAAACCACAATAAAGTATCATCTCACAACTGTTAGAATGGTTAATATCAAAAATATAAGAATAACCAGTGCTGGCAGGGATGTGGAGTACACTCTGGTGGGAATGTAAACTGGTGTAGCCACTATGGAAAACATAATTTTTTGAAGTTCCTCAAAAAATTAAAATAGAACTACCAGATGATGCAGCAATTCTACTTCTGGTTATTTTCCCAAAGAAAATGAAAATACTAACTTGAGAAGATATAAATGATCCCTGTGTTCATTGCAGCATTTACAATAATCAAGATATAGAAGCAACTGTTGGATGAATGGATAAAGACAGTATATTTATACAATGGAATATTTCAGCCATAAAGAATGAAATCTTGCCATTTACAACAACATGGATGGAACTTGAGGACATTATTCTAAGTTAAACAAGTCAGAGAATGACTAATACCCTATGAAGGTCACTTCTTTGTAGAATCTTAAAAACCCCCAAACCAAACCAACAAAAAAGCCCCCAAGCTCATAGATAAAAGAAATGGGAAGTTACCAGAGGTGAAGGATAGGGGGTGGGCAAAATGAGTGAAGGGGGTCAAAAAGTAGAAACTTGCAGTTATAAGTAAGTCATGAGGATATAGTATATAGCATGTGATTACAATTAATAATACTGTATTAGATGTTTAAACGTTGCTAAGAGAATAAATCAAAAGTTCTTATTACAGGAAAAAAATTTTTAACTATGGTGATGATGTTAATTAGACTTATTGTGGTGATCATTTCACAGTATAAACAAATATCAAGTCATTATGTTGTATAGCTGAAAATAATAGTGCCAGTTATACCTCAAAAAAAGAAATCCCACAAAGAATGCGTGGTACCCCTTCCCCCACATAGGCCCCTGCACTCCTAGGCTCACGCTTATGGTCTCTCATGGAAACCAGCATGGACTATGATCTGAAAACTCTTGAGTACAGAGTGTTCCTTTTCCGTATATAGCTAGGTTTGTGCTTCCTACCCGGCTTTTCAAACTAAACATTATATTGTTTAAAAATGCATATGTATGGTCTATAGAGGCAAGCAAAAAGACAACACAACATTCAGGATAATGGCTATTTCTAGGGGGAAAGATGGGGTTTGTGAGCTGGAAGATACAGGAAAACTCCTAACAGAGCTCCCACACATGGCCGTTTAGTTCGTTCACCTGTGAGACTCTAGGGGATGCCATATACATAAAGTCCGGCTCCTCTGGTACTGGAGAGCATCCATTTCTTTACTTGAGTGCTGGGTACAGGCATTCATATTCTTTTCTAAAAAGGGCATTATTATTTCTCTACAGAATACATACCTTACTGATTGCAATAGGAGTTGGCAGACTTTTTCTATAAAGTGCCAGACAGTAAATATGTTAGGCCTTATTGCCCGTAAGTTCTGCATCCCACTTGATTCTGCTGTTGTAGTATAAAAGCAGCTACAGATGAGCAGATACATGAGTGGGTGTGTCTGTGTTCCAAGAAAGCTGTATTTACAAAGCCCAGTAGCTGGATTTGGCTTGGGGCTCCAGTATACCAAACCCCAGATTACACAGCTTAAACCTTTAAAAGACCAAAAAAAAAAAAAAAAAAAAATTTATCTGTGGTTTGTCTAGGGGATTGAGAGTAGAGCCTGGAACAAAGGATTCACTGGGGTGTAGTAGGAAGGCCAGTAATGAAGCTTCCTACAGTCCATGTTTTTTATTAAGTTATGACTGTGAAAATGTTGAATCTTATTTTATGAGCTTGGGCACTTTGTCCTCTATAATGTAAAATATTGAGAGAAAGCTGCTGCTCAAACTTTGATTTCATTAAGGAAACCATTTTTCTGAAAATGATCCAGACTAATTCTTCATTAAAAGCAGCAAATCCAACAACCGTACCACTTGTCATTAATTGATCATTACCAGATGTCAGACACGATACCAGGAACTTGACACATTATTTTCCTCACAACAGTTCTTCAAAGTGGGTTTGTTTGGTGTCCATTTTCCAACTGAGAAAGGCTGCTTTTCCAAGATCCCAGAGCTAATATTGCTGAGATTTGAGCCAGAGTTGTCCAGTTTAAAATTCAGTCTGTTTTCTACAGCACACTGCCTCTACAGAAGGCATCCTGCTTTAATGTTGCCAAATCAATTTGGTTTTAGATTGTCTTCGCAGTTTTACTGACTTAGAAGAACTCGATGAGACAGAGTTATATATGTGCCACAAATGCAAAAAGAAACAAAAATCCACCAAAAAATTTTGGATTCAGAAACTACCCAAGGTAAGCATTTTCAAATTATAATGCAGTTTTGAGGAGGAAAATGTTTATGATGAATGAGAAGACAAATTATTTTCGTAACTCCAGCCTATGTATTCTGTATTGGTCTCTAGTTTTCAGCAGAAGGTAAATAAATCTTTGAGAATGTATAATTAATGTATCCTGATCACAATTTCCAGTGTGTGGAAGGGGATGGTTTCCTCCCACATCATCGTTAAGCAACCAGCTGGGTGTCTTACTTAGAATTTGGTGCAGCTCTGACACTATCAAAGCTGGTGATAGCGATCAGATTCCACAGGTTCTGGGCCCAGTCCTCTAACACCAGCTCTGCTTCCGAAGCCCAGAGAGCACAGCTTGCTACTTTATGCTTCTGACCAACAGACTAGACATGGGTTTGAGGAGATACATAGGGTGGGGTCCTGAACAGAGGAGCTTCTGTCCTTGGGGAGTTTGGGGCCTGGCACAGTAGCACTTCGAAGTGTTCTGGTTACCCATCTGGAATCTCTCCAAACCCCTCCTTTTGGATTTTTACGGAGGCTTCATTACCTAGGCACGGCTGATTAAGTCATTGGCTGTTGGCAGTTGTTCAACTTTCAGCCCCTCTCTCCTACCTGGAGAGTTGGGTTGGGGAGTCTGAAAGTTCCAACTCTGTATTCACACGGTTGGGTCCCCTGGCAACTACCCCACATCCTTTGAGGCAGTTAGAAAGTCACCTCATTGGCATAACAAAGACACCTTTATGGCTATCCCTTTGGAAATTCTAATGGTTTAGGTAAGCTGTGTGGAAATATAAGCTCTTCACCCCCTTTCCACACAGCTCCTAAACTTTAGGAAAAAAGGGGTTTTATGTGTATATATATATACACATAAAATATATATATATATTTTAGTTTTTAATTCCAGTCAGTTAACTACAGTGTGGTTAGTTTCAGGTGTTTTATTTATTTTAAATCACAATATCATAATAAGATATGTGGAAGAAAGTACTCTCAAGGTTCAAAATAAAGAAAAAAAGAACTTATAGGCCACCTAAAATATTACTGAGAGATATTAGTACCAAGTAGTTAATTTTACTGAAAGGGAAATTAGGGTTTTTTTTTTTTTTTTTTTTTATACAATCTTTGTCCTTATCTCTCATCCAGGTGCTATGCTTACATCTGAAACGATTTCATTGGACTGCATATTTAAGAAACAAAGTTGATACCTATGTAGAATTTCCACTGAGAGGCCTAGACATGAAATGCTACTTATTAGAGGTACAGTAAATTAATTACCTTTGCTAGGAGGGTGCAAAGATGGCTTTCCAGTAAAATTAAGCCTTCACATTGATAAGAGATAGGATGTCATTGACCGCTGCTTCTAACTCAGTCCTGGATATCTTCTCCCTTGTCCTGTAGCCTGAGAACAGTGGCCCAGAGAACTGCCTGTATGACCTTGCTGCCGTGGTGGTGCACCATGGTTCCGGGTAAGTGTGTCAGCGTCTTCTCATAGTTGGGTTTTCGAAAACCACAGCAAAGGGGCACCTGGGTGGCTCAGTCAGTTAAGCGTCCAACTTCGACTCAGGTCATGATCTCCCGGTTTGTGGGCAAGAGCCCCGCGTCGGGCTCTGTGCTGGCAGCTAGCTCAGAGCCTGGAGCCTGCTTCAGACTCTGTGTCTCCCTCTCTCTCTGACCCTCCCCTGCTCATGCTCTATCTCTCAGAAATAAAGCACTAAAAAAAAAAAAGGAAGCCACGGCAAAGATCTGCACTTTTGCATCACTCTTGGTAATTCTCCCACAATTCCTTAAAAATGGATTCAGATACATTAATTACATTAACATAGGTGAGGCAGAACTTCTTTCAGTCTCGGTATGAAAGAATATTCTGGAGAGGATGTTGTGAAGGAAGGAGAGAAGGCACATGAAAGCAAAATGGAGAAGGGTTCATTTGAGCTCCACATTGAGAGCTTATGTATTTGTCCACAGAATCCTCAGTAGGCTTTACTCCAAAGTTAGTTCCTTTGCCAGCTGACTTTTAAAGGGAGGGAAAATGGGAAGTTATCTGGAGTAACTTACTTCATGTCATCTATTTTAAAGATTTTATTGAATATTCTTGTTTTTTTCCTGAAGTTTTATTAGTTTTTACCTTTTCGTTCCTTGAGAATGGGTATTTATCTTTCAATCATAGACAAACCCCTATCCCTTTTCCCTCAGAACTTTGTAGACATTGCTCTCTTGCCTTCATCATTCCAGGGCCAAGTCCACTAAGGTCTGATTCTCATCTCTTTATAGGCAACCTTTTTTCCTTATTGGAAGATTGTAGGATCCTCGGTCTTTGGATTTAAGAAATTACAGCACATGTATTCCTGGCTTGGTAGTTGATAGGGACACTCTTTGTCTGGTGTCCTCACTTCATGAAAACATTTGATCCACCCCATACTCTCCCTATGACATGTATGGCAGTTCCCCCTTATCTGCAGGGACGTTCGTGCAGTAGATGCCTACAGTCATAGTAACAAACCCTATGTATACACTGTATTTTTCCTGTACATACAGACGTAACTATGATAGCTTAATTTATAAACAATCATAATTTAATAGTAATTATAATTGTGATAGCCTTAGGCTTCTGTTGACCTTTTGACAATATATTAGAAAGAACATCATCTTCTTCTGGACCACACCTGACTGTGGGAAACTGAACCATGGACAGGGAAACCGAGGACAAGGGCGGACTAGGATATAGTGAATTTTCTGGTTCTTTTCCACATTTTAACTGTTGTTTAATGATTTCCGTCTCTGTGTTTCTCAAGACTGCCATGGCCTATTTTTCCAAATCACCAATTTGGATTTCATCTCTATCCAAATTGAAGATGACATTAATACTCTGGCAATCCCATTTTTCTGGTAACTCTTTTTCCTAACAGAAACATTTTTGTTTTATGGTTGCAATATCTTTTTGAAACTACTGGTATTAATTAGAATTTTTAAGTCTCTTTGGTTTTCTGCATTAACTTTGTTAGTGGTTAATTGTTTGTTCTTCCCAGTACTTTTCTTTCATACTATCCCCCGCCCCCCTCCCCACCCCCCACCAAGGGTTTGATGATTTTTGGCTATTTATTCAGAATCATAATAGATGATGAGATTGATCATTATTGGTAAATGGTGAGGGTTTCTCTAGCAGTTGTGAAGGTATCTGTTCTACCTGAGGCTTTTCTCCTGCCTGGGAGGGCCGACTGTAGGGCTCCATGGGTGAGTGGGTGGGTCATGCTGAAAGAGAAAAGCCCTTTCCTCGAGGCAGATTACTTTCTTAAGCTCAGGGTTTTTTCCAAGGCTGTGATGGAAATCCATGTTTCCATAGGCCTTGACCCATGCTTGTTAGGTTGAGTTCCTTAGCTCTTCGGCGTCTCCATTAACCCAGTGCCATGTGAACACTGCTCTCCGGTGTTGTAGAACATCTTCCATTTCTGCTCATTCGATGGCACTCTTCCCTATGTTTCCAGGGCCTGCATATTCCTGGTTATTCCCATGGGTTTTGAGGAACATAAACATGATGAGTTCAGTCAGCCATCTTAAACCACAAATCTCTAGGGCTTATTCTTTATTACAATATGTAGAATTTATTGTATATCTAAAAAATTATATGATTATGCAGATCTTCCTGTTATTTCTGTAGTCCATATCTTTCTTTTTTTTTTTTTTTTAACTTTTCCTTATAGGGTCGGTTCTGGACATTACACAGCGTATGCAACTCATGAAGGTCGCTGGTTCCATTTCAATGACAGTACTGTAACGCTGACTGATGAAGACACCGTTGTGAAGGCAAAGGCCTACATCCTTTTTTACGTGGAACGCCAGGCCAAAGCTGGATCAGATAAACTTTAATACCTCCTTTAAATCATTATTTGTCAACTATACCGGACAAACATTTCCAGTTTTCCGTAAATACTTGATCCAAGATTTAATTTCATTATGCACTTTTCAATTTCCTATTTTGGGTTTAGTTTTGTCAATGGTAGTGACGTATTGAACATGGGCACCAACTATTTTTTTTAGTTCTACCAGAAAACCTCAGCAGATATTTTGATTTGCTGCTTTAGTTGTAATAATTGTTTTTATATGTAGTTTCAAGAACTTAGTTCTATTTGACTTTTTTATATTAATGTTTTCAGTTCTCACTCTGAGGCACATTTACATCAATGCTTTGTTACTGTCACATGCTGAAAGCAGGATGTGTTCCTGAACGTGAAGAGCAATAGAACTGCTGCCTTCCACAGCTGTAATGCGACATCATGTGGACTTGACCTCCAGGATCATGCGTGCACATCATTTGTGGCCCACAAGATTTCACTGACTGTAATTCTTTTTGATTGTAAGAGATGACTGGGAGGGCATCAGTAAATAGACCCGGTGATTGCTGCTCTTGGCATCTCTCATGACTGCTGCTTATCAGCACTGATTAAATCAATTTGTTGGTTCACTTGTACCTGTACTGCAAATTCAAGTTAGTCCTTTGAAGTTTTAAAATTTTGTTTTGGGGATATTTTTGCTTGTGTGTGTACTCATGGAGATAGGAAGTACAGAAAAGTCCAGATAAGACAAGATAACATTTAGTGTTTAAAAATGTCTTTGACTCAGCTACATGGTATAGATACTGTTTGGTGAGGAGACCATGGCTTCCGTTTGCCTTCAGAACCAGCATCTAGTTTCCCCGCTGGCTGTGATGCCGGGAAGAACTACCTGTCCACTTTTGCCTTATTTCTTCCTAGGCCATCTGAGGTGCAGATGCTGACCATCACCTACACTTCACAGCAGGAAATTTGAGTCTTTGCTACTTTGAGTTTTAACAGCGCTCACTGGCCTATCCTGATAGCAGAGTAAGCTGAAACTATTCTCACTTTGAACAGAGTTTCTATTCTTGAGTAGTCTTTGTTTTAAAACTGTGTTCAAGAAAAATAGGTACAAGCACCATTAAGGTTTAATTCAAGTTGAAATTTGGAACCAGCATCCCATCTAAGAAAGGTAATTGTGATTTCTACAAGCGTTCCAGGCTAGTCTGTTGAATTTGAGGTGGGGGCAGTGGCATTACTTAGAAAGGACTCAAAGGGACTTCCAGATAGGCTGTACCATAGGACCAGGCACTGTTTTCAGGGTCATCTCTCATTCCAGCCTTTATTTTCTTCTCAAGTGTCTACAAATGACAAGGGGGAGAATGTATTTCATATTAAGCCAACCTAGCAGACTTTTTGGTAATCTTTTAAAGTGCATGAATGTAAAAGAAGTCTAATGGCTCTCCTCAGGGTGGATATTTGAAGTTGCAGGAGCAGATGTGGCTCCAATTCACTATTAGCTAGACAAGGCTCTTTCCTCAGAGCAAAAATCAGCTGCTAACCACTCTACCATGACCAGAAGCAAACTGCAGTTGTGTCTCAACTTGTACTCTCCATTATGGCGGTCACTAGTTACATGTGGTTATTTAAATTTTAATTAAAATTAAATCTGGAGGTGCCTGGGTGGCTCAGTTGGTTAAGCGTCCAACTTCATCTCAGGTCATGATCTCAAGGCCCATGAGCTCGAGCCCCGCACTGGGCTCTGCTGACAGCTCAGAGCCTGGAGCCTGCTTCGGGTTCTGTGTCTCCCTCTCTCGCTGCCCCTCCCCTGCTCACAGTCTGTCTCTTTCTCAAAAATAAACATTAAAATTTTTTTTAAATAATTAAATTTAAAACTTAGTTTTCAGTCACATGAGCTACATCTCAAGTGCCCAGCAGCCACATGGGGCACAGGACTGCTTAGGTCTAGGGCAGTTCTCTGGGACGGCACTGGTCTCAGTATTCACTCCAGAGAAAAAAGCTTTTGCTTTTTATTTAGGTCTGACACCTTAGAAACAGAGTCTAGAAGATAATTAAGAGGGAAACATGTATTTGAAGTAGTTTGCAGTTCTAAATTACATTAGGTTGCACCATAGGAAATTGTGGTATTTCCCCTTTTGATCCACAAAAGTGAAAGTTTCACAAAATTTGACCTTAATACATTAATACGTTAACACCACATGTAAATGAACTTGGAATGTGCATCATCTTTGATTTTTGTTCAGTATCTCCTATGAATTCAGGCTTTTGTACTTAGAGGGTGCATAGCTGGGACTTCTAACGTCTGCATTTAGATTCTCTCTCTGCAGGGGCAGCTGCTAGGACTTCCACAATAGAGCTTTGGGCAGTGCTGATGTTGGTAGAGAAAAGCTGTCTTTTTGTACCAGATGGAACTTGGCAGCAGCCAGACTGCCTTCTGGGGGAGAGTGGTCCTTAGACAGGCAACATCGTTGGCTTAAGACAGGGACACATCTCCTCTTGGAATCTTAGGAGTGTTTTTATTGCTTGACTTTCCTTAGGCAGGGTGTTCGAATGGTATTATGAAGGAAGGCCCTTTGGAAAAGTGATCGGATCCATTTGAATTGTGCATTTGAACACCAGTGATGTAAATGTGCCTATTTGTATTTAAAAAATTTAACTGTGTAGCCTTATCACACCTGTTTTAAAAGCTGATCTCTGTGTGCTCTTCAGGGCTCTCCCCTTGTGCCATGTCGTCTGTGTGTGTGTGTGTGGCTTCTCGCGCAGAGAGCTTACGCTGAGACGGTGCCTCACGCCGTCACACGGCTCCCCTGCGACAAGAAAACCTCCTCAGAAGTCCTCCCACACGGGTGGGTGGTAGAAACCGTTTGTGGCAACACAAATCTCTCTCCATGGTGGAGAAACCTTTGCTTATCCACTGTATTCTACTCAGTGTCTAGTGATGACAAATGTAACAGAATTAAGCCAGTCAAGTGTACAGGCCCCGGTCAAGTGGTAAATGTGGATCTCACCTCGGGAACCTACACAGCAGCTTGGTTTCTGTGGCTGGGGACATATTTATTTCTTAAGAGCCAAACCTCTGTTTCATTGGTTTAGCGTATATACGTCTATTTAGATACACTTCTCCCCCTTCAGCCCCCAGCGTCCCCTAAACTCCCTCACAAACCCTGTTGCTCAAGGGGCCTCTTCACTCAGGCCCTGAAGAGGCTCGCGAGCAGTCGGTTCCTGCGGCCAGGGCACGGGTCCCAGGGGCCTGGGGTGCAGCCACAGGAACGCGCCCGCGGTGCAGGAAGAGGCAGGCACACGGTGGGTTGTGCGGGAGCGCAAGGTGTCCGCGTCGCCTCGCTGACCTGGGCACGAGGGACTCCAGACCGTCCTCCGCCTGTGCCGCGTGTGTCTGAGGTGACTGTTTGTTTGCCACGAAAGCCTACTTTGTACGATGCAAGAGGATTAACTGTGTGACTGATTTCATTGACGTTGTAATCACATCCCTTTTCTTCACCAACCTCAACTGTTTTATGGATGAAAGTATCATTAAAGTTCTGGTCTCTTTCCTCTTGGCTATTATTTCTGAGCTCCTTTCAGGGGAGCCAGGGAAGTAAGGGGGTACTTGCTCCACCCATGGGCCTGGTCACTCAGTCAGCAGTTTAGTGCTCAGGCCTCCCCATCTGGGCCGCCAGAGTACAGAGGCCGGGATGAAGTGACCTGCACGGCCAGGTGGTGGTGGGAGGGGACCCCTAGTGCCCACAGTCAGGTGCCGGAGAAGCGGCCCGTGCACCCCAGAGCCTAGATCACCCTGCCTCCCCTCGGACAGCTCTTCGTATAAAGTGCCGACTGCATGCCTCCTTCAGAGCTAGACCCCGCCCTGAGGAAGCGGCTTCTGGGCCGAGCCAAGGTTTGTTGGTCACCTTTTATTCAAGACAGGCAAATAAAGTGCCACTGTTAAAAAATTCTGGGTCTTAGTAAGCTCCTATATATACACGACCCCTCTGCCTCCACTGTCCCCTGGAGACACGACCCCTCCCCCACACCCCTCCTGTTTTCCTGTTACTTATCTGCCTGCTCCTGGCAGCCTTCTACCTTTGAAGACAGAGGTGGCCGGAGGGTGCATGGTTTTGCCTCCAGCTCCCACAGGCAGCTGTGCTGGTCAGAGGCTTATGGGCCAACGAGGAGCCAGGCCCACCCTCTGTTCTGGGATGTCACTCCTCCCCCTTCCCCCACAGTGGCAGCATGTGGGCCGGAGCTGTTCCAGCAAGGCCGCAGGACTCGATGCCGCATCAGACCGCGAGGCCTTCCTAGTGGCCAACCTTTTAAGAAGTTCAAAGAACTGCCTATTTCCAGAGGTCAGCCCTGTAAGAAGTACTGGTTTGGAAAGGATCTGCGAGGGAAAGTGGAGATCCTAAGGCTTTCTCTTAAAACCCATCCGAGCATACCTTTAGACTGGCTAAGTGCAAGCAGGGCCAAAGGTGGCTGTCAGCTGTACTTGTAAACCATTAAAATGATTAGTCTGGAATATTAGCTGTAGCTTGTGACCCTTTCCTTGAGAAGTGCTTCTTTCAGCTGTTTTCTTGGTGTATGTTTTTAAGAAAAGTTGCCCTTCCACTTCACCTTGGCAGTGCTAGGGTAACCAAGCACACAGGGCCACTGAGTCTGGTGTCTCAGAGGGAGATGACTAGAATGGCATTCTTCCCTTAGCTGTGTTATGGTTTGTTTCGTTTTGGGTTTACTTCTGAGAGAGCAGGGGAGGGGCAGAGAAAAGGGGACAGAAGATCCGAAGTGGGCTCCATGCCAACAGCAGCAAACCCAGTGTGCCGGGGCTCGAACCCACAAACTGCAAGATCATGACCTGAGCTGAAGTCAGACGCTCAACTGACTGAGGCACCCAGGCGCCTGTACATCACGCTTATTTTAAAGGCGAAGCTGCACCAGGAATGACCGGGCCTTAATCTGCGTTCATCTGCATTACAGCCACACAACTGGACACAAAGCATCCCCTTTCTTCCAATTCTAATCAAATGGGTGAATAAACAAAACCACTCAGGTGGCGGTTCCTGGCGGAGCAGAGAAATATCTGGTTCTGTCCTCACCTTGCTACCGCAGAGGCAGCAAGCAGCCTTCAGTATTGGCTTCCCCCAAACTACCAGATGGGTATACAACGCTGGTAATTCACAACAGAATTACAGTAGGATCTGGGGTGGGAGTGAAGTATTAGAAAATAGATCCATGTACTGAGAAATCTAAATTACTTCAGGAAAGGAGAACTTAAGGGATAATGTCTCCAGGCAGCCTGCCTAGGCTCGGGGCCGGTTCTGAAGGCATTCACAAAGAGGATGGTGCGTGGCTGGCTTAAAGGGCAAGCCTGGACTAAAATACTTAGAACGGTTTCAAACAGTTTTGCACTTAGAGCTACTTCATCCATCCTGACATTTTGGGAAATACAGACGAGATACAGCAGGACACAGAATTGGAAAAATGATAAGATGTAAAGCCAAGTAAACTGAAGCTTAAAACGTTCTACACACACAGAAGAACCTTGACAGCTAAGCCACTTAAGAAGCTTTTGAAACAACTCAAGGTAAAAACAGCCGGCTGGGAGGCCCAGGCAGTCCGGCACCTGGTGGAGGGTAGCAGGCTTTGA